CCTGGAGTGTATTACTGTTGCTTTCTGTTTTCACTGTACCAGTTTCTGGTGAAGGCAGGTTGAGGTCTGGCTGGCCGGCCAAGGTACCTTGCCAGGTCAGGGCTGCATTCACTTAGAAACTCCTCTCCTCTGTAAGGGGTTATAGCTGTATAACGTCGTACTTGGTTTGATAATACGATTTTTTATGCCTTTTTCCTTTTTAAAATTTTATTATTTTTATGTGTATGAGTGTATTGTCTGCAGATATGTAAGTACATCTATATTGTGCAGTGCCTGCAGAGGTCAGAAGAGGGCATCAGATTCCCCTGGAACTGGAGTTACAGATGGTTGTTAGCCACCATGTAGGTGCTGGGAATCAAACCCCAGTTCTATGCAAGAGCAGCCAGTGCTCCTGACCTCTTGAGACACCTCTCCAACCTGCCCTTTTCCTTCTTACAGTGTCTGAACAGATTTGTGTATCTCCTTTGTTCCTGTGGTTGTTTTCAGTATATTTAATCAGATGCAATATGCTTAGGAAATGAAGCTGCTCTTTTCTGGTAGCAGAGTACACTGGAGCACCACATTCTTCACTTACTAGGAAAATTGTAAAACTTAGAAAATGTAAAATAGCAGTGTGGTAAGCATCTGTGTAACTTTCACCCAAACCTCAGCTATTAGCAGTGTTTGTTCCTTTTCACCTGTCCCCACCGCCAGTGTGGTACGACAGACTTCATCAGCTCTTTCCTGAGGTTTGTAAGGTATTGGTGTGGAGCTTACATGTTCAGTGTCCTAAATTCAGTCCCCAGCACCTGGGGAAAAATAGTTTGTAGATTGATCTCTTGCTTAGGTTTTTGGGTTTTTTATTTTTTTGTTTGTTTTTTCTGGCTTGTTTGGTTTTGTATTTGTGTTTCGCTGGGGATTGAACCCCAAGCTTTTTGGGCATGCAAGGCAAGTGCTGCCTCCAGGGTGTGTGTGTCTTCAGCCTTTATAGACTGGTCATTCTTATGCTTCAGTAAGTCTTCCCACATGAGGTGCTTCCTTACGTAACCTTAAATACCATTATCATATCCATCATTTTAACTAGTGAAATAAAATGATACAACCAGAACCTGTATTCAAACCATAGTCCACATTTAAAATTTGTAAGACATCCTCCCTCCCAAAAAATGTCCTTCACAGCCATATTTCTCCCATGTGCAGTCTGTCTTATTCAACATTGTGTGCTTGTTACATTTTCTTTTTGTAATTTGAGACGTCTCCCTGTAGCTCCAGCTTATCTGGAACTCACTGTGTAGACCAGGCTGGCTATCTCACCAAGATCCCCCTGGGTCTGCCTCCTGAGTGCCACACCTGGCCATGACATTTTCTTGTCATGATCTGTATCCTTTACAGGAGATCTAGAGCAGGGAGGACAGGGCACGCTTTCATGCCGGGATGTAGAATAAATATTTTATGCTTTGTGGATATTATGATTTCTATTGTGACTACTCAGCTGTTTATTGTGTAAATAAATGAGTGTGGCTGTATTCCAGTAAAGCTTTATTTTATAAATCTAGGCAAACCAGTGGTTCTATATAGGCTGTAGGCTCCTGATCTAGAACAGATTCCCCCATCTCTCATTAGTATTTTGAATAATCAAGCCAAGTTTCTTTGCAGAATGTTTCAAATCTAGATTTTAAAAAGTGTTTCCACATTATTTTATTAAGCTTAAAAATATCCGTGTGAGCTCTTGGGGAAAGATGATGGCGCATTTGACAGTAAAACTTCTTTTTGTCTCTCCTTGTTTCTCTCCTCTACCAGTTACTGTACATGGAATATTGCTGCCAAGAAAATGGACAGTAAAGTTAACTTCTAGGCTGCTAGCTAATTCCTTGACCGTGTTCTCTTTTAGACACGAGAATTTTTACCCATATGCTCTTTTACATAAATGTTTTTATGTTCACAAATCAGCAATGGATTCCAGAAGGCTTTTGAATACAGAAAGATAGTGGAAATAAACTTAGATACAGGCATTGTAGCCAAATACTGTTCTATAGCATGAAAGCTAAAATTGTGTGTTGAGGTCATGAAATAGAAGTGAAATGGAGTGTTCTTTGCTATAGATCAACTCACTGTGCTTAGCATTGTACAAGAATGAGCTATAGAAGTCGATAAGAAATCATTCTTATGGAATCAGTACAAGACTGTTCTTGAGGGAGATAAAGTGTAACTGCACTGTGCAGAAGCATGTTAATCTTCCAAGTTACTCTGTTTCCTTTTTGCTCAAAGGAGTAGCAAAAAAGTGTTTTAATGGCTTTCAAGAATTTGGGGATTTTGTTTTTGAATTTCCCTTAGATTTGGATGAACATCTGTGGTGAGTAGGTACAATTCTACCATCTTCTATTTTACACAAAATTTTTCTTTGTAGTTTGCCTTATTACAATCTGCTCCTGGTTTGCCCCTTTTTATTCTATACCATAAGGCTTTCCCTTTCTACATAGTTGTTAAATGAAGATTGGCCTCTTTTGAAGTATTTATTCCTCACTTCCATCATAGCGCACCGTAAGTAGCCATCAGTGTAGGTATGTTTGTATCCATATGACTCAGGTGAGTTAAGTAATCGTGCTTTGTTTTCTTCATCTCTGAAATAAGGACACAATATCTGCTTCCTAAGTTTATGAAACTTAAATACAGTAGTGCCTGGCATATAGTATACTGAGTAAATGTTAGACTTGTTACTGTTTGTTGCTGCTGTTGTTTGTGTTTTCAGACAGGGTCTTACTCTACAGCCCAGACAGCCCTCAGACTTGACATCATCTTGCCTTAGCTTTCTGAATGCTGGAATTACAAGTATAACCCATCACATCAGGCCTTTGCTGTTTCTGATTACATAGTTACTCACCCATGTCTTATTTGTTCATAGACTGCCCTGTCAACTAAGTAGAGCAGGATGTATTGACAGGTGTGCTCTAACTAGTCCAGGAGGAACACAGTGCTCACCTTGTTGGTTTGGATCAGAGATATAAGTTTGTTTGTTTCTTTAAAAATTCATCTTGAGAATTTTAAACATACGAAAAAATAAGTGGGCGACGTGATAGATCTCAGATACCTGCCCTGCATCTGCAGTAATCTAGCCAGCCCTGTCCATGCATAAGCACCCTGTTTGGTAATTGTAGCGCCCTGTTATACCTAAGTCCATATCAAATTTGTCTTGGTGGTTGCTAAAGCTTTTGTGACAGTGCCTTGTTTTCTTGCAGATTATAGTTGGATTAATGAAGAGCTGAATTTAAAAATATATATTTATTTATTATTTTTATTTTATGTGTATGCGTGTATTGCCTGCATGTGTGTAAGTGCACCTGTGTCGTGCAATGTCATACAATGCCCGTGGAGGATAGAAGAGACTATCTGAACTGGAGTTACAGACAGTTGTTAGCTGCCATGTGGGTGTTGGGATTTAAACCCAGATCTTCTGCAAGAACAGTCAGCATTCTCAGCTGCTGAGCCATCTCTCCAGCCCTGAACAGCTGAATTTTAACCTTGGATTCATACCTGCATCAGTTTGGTTTGCTTTTTGTGTGTGGGCGCGGGGGTATTGGGGGGAGGCAGCAGTTTGTTGGGGACAAACCTCTGGAGACAGCAGTAGCCAGCAGGGGAAGTCAAACTATCTTTTATAGGCAGTTAGGTGTTTGGGTAACTTTCCATGACATCGGCTGGCAGTTTAGCTCGAGATTGGTTGGTCTGCCAATAAGCAAAGGAACATGCCTGGGCTAAGCTTGGATCTGCCATTTTCGAGTATTGGAAGCTGTGCCACTATTGTAGGAGTCTTCTGGCAACCTAACATTCCAGTCTTTTGTTGGTGATAAGGGACCATGGTGGTCTTTCTTTTAGCTACTTCTGTTGGAGAGGACATCCGCAAAGAAGAGAAGTCTCAGAAGGCTGGAACACCCATCTGGGATCAGGCAGGCAGGCAGTGGTAGGAGACCTGAAGGAATTTGGTTAGGAGCATCTTTTCCTTTTTTTCTTTTTGAGGCAGCCTTCCTGTAGCTGAGGCTGACCTGGATTCTCTATGGAGCCCAGGCTGGCCTGGAACTCAAAGAGATCTGCCTGACTCTGCCTCCTGCGTGCTGGGATTAAAGGTGTGCACCACCGTGCCTGGCTTTGGAATGACTTTTCATTATTTCTGTGAAATTTATTTGAGCATTCAGGGCTTTGGAGTTGATGCATTTCTGTGTGTTCTATATGTTAAACTAACCAGACACTGCAGAGACAAGACTGTTTTAGCTGAGAGACAGTGTGAATGAGAATGAATTCTAGTACATACATATAGTAGTGAGACTTCAGAATAATGACAAGTATAATAGATTTATGCAGTTGGAACTTTATGATAGTGGTTTTAAGTGGACCCTCTTACAGTCAGGGGAATAGAAGTGCCTTTAGCTTTTTCTCTTGGAATGCGCTTAGTATTTAAGAGTTGAATGTTTGTTTTTATCTTAAATACTGAAGATAAAGTGAGATTTGTTGATAGGAAGTGAAATCTCTAAAATGGAGGGAGGGATATAATCGGGGGGCGGGGGGCAGAGAGTCATGTGGCCTAATATCATGTCAGAATGTTGGGACCCTGTCTTGGGGCTCTGAGAACATGTGCCTGGGATCCTGTTCCAGTGGTGTAACCATAGGGTTGGGGTGGGACCCTCCTATTGTGAAAGTTGCCATTTCAGGCTTTTTTATTTAGAAGTTTCTTAAAACTTGGATAGCACGTCAAAATGCTTTCTTACTCTCTGTACTTGTTCAAGGTGCAAGAAATAAAATTTTAAGATGGGAAAGAAGGCTTTGCGTTCTCTAACTGATATTTTCTGACTAGGTACTTCGTAACTCAGGAAGACCTCATTTATTCCCAGTAATATGTTTTACTAAACTCTTTCAGGTAACTTTAAAAAGACTGTGTGACTTAATATGTAGTAGATGATGACTTGAACTCAGTTTTTATTTATTGTTGTTTGTAGAAAACTTTAGTGAGGTCTCTCTCTTTGTCTCTGTAGTTATCAGAGACTGCTACAGACCATTGCCGTACTTGAGGCTCAGCGTTCTCAAGCAGTCCAAGATCTGGAAAGTTTAGGAAAACACCAGAGAGAAGCACTAAAAAATCCTATTGGATTTGTGGAAAAGCTCCAAAAGAAGGTACAAAATAAGTGTACTTTGGTACTTTTTAGGATTTATTGAGCTATACTTAGTAATAACTGAAGCCAATTTTGTTCATTCTTTTTCTGTGAGTCTATGCTGTTAAGAGTATTTGGTTTTCCCTTCTGAAGTTAACCGAATGACTAAAGGTGGGTCATCTGCCTCTCCTACTGCCTAACCCAAGTGCAGATGGTGGACTGTGAGCTTCCGGTGGGTAGTCAGATGAGAACTCTGCTCACTCCCTATTGTAGAGTATTGTCCTTCTGTTGCTTGAGGACTTGAGGATTAGTAAAGCTCAAAGGACTGGTACTTGAGGGTTTATTGACTGATTTTGTTTTGGGTTATTTTGGTTACTAAGAGAAAAAACAAAGGTATAGAAAAAAAATTTTGACATGTGTTTAAGGTTTTAACTAAGTCTGTGGAGAAAAAGTAAATTTTCTTTAATTTTTAAAAATGTATTATTTTTTATTTTATGTATATTAGTGTATTGCCTGCATGTATGTAAGCACACTCATGTCATATAATGCCTGTGGAAGTCAGAAGAGGGTGTTGGATCCCCTGGAACTGGATGGAGTTAATAGTCAGTTGTTAACTGCCATCCATGTAGGTGCTGGGACTCAAACCCAGGTCCTCTGCAAGAGCAGCCAGTGCTCTTAACTGCTAAGCCAGCTCTCTAGCCCCAATTTTCTTTGATTTTTAAAAAGTCTTTTTTTTTTTTTAGTATGAAAATTCCTAATTTTCTATTTTCTTTGAAACTTTTGTGCTTAACAGCCATTTGGGAACCACTTATTTTACATTGTATATACATTCTGTACATTGTGTGGGGTGTGGTTCTCTGGTGCTGGGGATGGAACCAGGGCACTGTGCATGTTGAGCAAGTGCTCTAGTACCACTGAGCCTTGCTCAATGTTATTTGAGAGGCTTGGTATTAGTATTTTGTTTAAGTAGATTAAAACAAAAATTATGAAAATCCTCTGCCTTTAAAAGAAAAATTTATCTTTTATAGTAAGATGACATTAGTGCTTTTAATGAGTTACCTCTGTTTAATGGTTTTGTAAAAGCCACTTGCCAGATGTGGTTAATCATATTTCTCCTTTCCATGCTTTTAGAAAAAATTGCATTTTATAATCATATATTACTTCCTTAAAATGTCTGATTTTTAGAGCTCTATTTTATGTTCTCTGTTAAAATAGGGTCCCAGCCAGGTGTTGCTCACACTTTTAATCCCTGAACTTTGGAGGCAGAAGCAGGCAGAGGACCTCTGTGACATGGAGGCCAGCCTGGTTTAAGTTCTGTGCCATCAGGGGCTACAGGGAAACACTGCCTGTCAAAGGGGGATGGGGGGGGGCATCGGTCCGGTGTGATAGTATACATGTATAGTCCCAGAATTTTGTGTGGAGGCAGGAGAGGGTCAGGAGTTCAGGGTCATTCTCATCAGAACTGAGGCCAGCTTAGGTTATCTGAGACTGTCTCAAAAAATAAACGGGACTGGAGAGATGGTTTTTTTCAGTTAAGAGCACTGGTTGCTTTTGCAGCAGACTGGGGTTCAGTTCCAAGCACCTACAAGGCAGCTAACCACCGTCTGTAACTCCAGTTCCAGGGGATCTGACATTTGGCTACCACATGACACAGGTGCACTTCTATGAAAGCAGTACACTCATACACATAAAATAAACATTGAATTTTTTTTTTTTTTGTCTTTTTGAGACAGGGTCTCTCTGTAGCCCCAGCTGTCCTGGAACTCACTATGTAGACCAGGCTGGCCTTGAACTCACAGAGATCCGCCTGCCTCTGCCTCCCGAGTGCTGGGATTAAAGGCATGCGCCACCACTCCCGGCTGAATAAATTTTTTTAAGAACCCAAAAAACAGAAAAGCTAGCAAGAACCCCCCCCCCAATCAAAGCAAAACAAAAACCCAATAATAATAAATGACAAAAATTCCCTCGTAAGTACATTAAACAGTTTGCTAGAACTCAAAGACATTGTATTTATTTTATTTCGGTCTTTTTGAGACAGGGTCTCCCTGTAGCCCTAGCTGGCCTGGAACTCACTATGTGAACCAAGTTGGCCTTGATCTCACAGAGATTTGCCTGGCTCTGCCTCCCAAGTGCTGGGACTAAAGGCGTGCGCCACCACACCCAGCTCAAGACATTGTATTTAAAATGGTAGTTAGAGCACTAGAGAAATAGATCATAAATGTATTAATCTTAATCTCATTTTACTTATGTTCTGGTAAGCAAAAACAGGAATTTAGGCATCCTTAATAGATTGGTATGCAGTCAGATCTTTGCTAGTTTTTCATTTCGAGGTTCAATTTACAACTGAATTTCCTTTTAATTAAAAAACAGATGTGTTATAGAACATCTTAACTTTTTGCAAAGATAAACAAGTATATTAAATCTAGATACTTCAATTAACATTTAAGATTTATATTCCTTAGGAAGAGTTCTTTCTACTAGATTTAATTTAGAAGTTTGAGTCTTAGAGTTTGTCATATTTGGACCCAGGGATGCAGCTATGGTAGAGCATGTGCGTGTTTTCTAGAAGGCTATGAGCCTGGTCCTTAGCAGTGCCAGAAAATAAGTTGTCATAGTTTTTATAAATATGGTGAAGACTTATGGATTGTGAATTCATTGTTTTATTTTCATATCAAGTCTCATCTGTTGAAGCTAGCACACCTGTTTGCTTCTCTCTGAGGAGACACATTCTGTTTGGTGTTTATGTGTAAGTGTGACACTGACACAGTAACACAGTACAGTACTTTTCTGTACAGTTCACACTTAACGCTCTTGAGTAATACTTGGAGTTTCCTGAAGTAAACTTTTTTTCATCGTTTTGATTTTTGTTTTGTTTTGTTATCTTTTTTTTTCAGGCTGATATAGGCCTTCCTTACCCACAGAGAGTTGTTCAGTTGCCCGAGATTATGTGGGACCAGTATACCAGTAGCCTTGGAAACTTTGAAAGAGAATTTAAAAATCGCAAAAGACATACTAGGAGAGTTAAATTAGTTTTTGATAAAGGTAAGAAATCATATGATAAGAATTTAACCTGGAAAATGTCTTGCAATGCCTTACTTGAATAATTCTGTATATAATTTTGGTTTTAGTAGGTTTACCTGCTAGACCAAAAAGTCCCTTAGACGCTAAGAAGGATGGAGAGTCTCTTTCATACTCCATGTTGCCTTTGAGTGATGGTCCAGAAGGCTCTCATAGCCGTCCACAGGTGAGTGGCAGGAAGAACCCAAGTAGCAAAATTTGAGATTTAGACAAAACGTTTTAGCATCTTGCTGATTTTTATTCTTAAAATTATGACTCTTAGCCAGGTCTGGTGGCACATGCCTTTAGTCCCAGCACTCAGGAGGCAGAGGCAGGCGGATCTCTGTGAGTTCCAGGTCAGCTGGGGCTACAGGGAGACCCTGTCTCAAAAAGACCCCCCCCCAAAAAAAATACGACTCTTTTACTGAAAAATAATAGGAACATAATTATTGAAGTTAAGAAGAAACTAAGTCAAACTTACTACTTAAATTTCAATGTTGCTTATGCTAAAGTGTCAAAGTTGCAGCCTCTTATATAAAATGTAATTAATAGTACTTGTGCTACAGGGTGTTTATGACCATTAAGAGGGTGCTCTATGTTTGGTACCTACTGCAAAGGTCTTGTGGAGTATGATCAGGATTTCAGTTGTGGCCTTATCTCTGTTAGATTTGGTACTTTTCAGTCTTGAACCCACATTTCCTGTTTTCATAAAGGGGTCACTGTCATTTATTTATATGAGGGTTGTTAGAGCATAAAGCCAAAAAAAAAAAAAACAAAAACCAAGAATATGGAAAAAAGTTAGAAGCAATAAAAAGGTGATATAACTATTAAAAATAAATATACAAGCTGGGCATAGTGGCACATGCCTTTAATCTGAGCACTCAGGACACAGAGGCAGGTGAAACTGAAATCTAGGTCAGTTAGGGCTATGGGAAGAGCCTATCTCAAAGTGTGTGTGTGGAGGGGGATACACAAAAATACTTGGAAATTTCCAAAAAGTTCTGTTTGTGTGTTATTTGGCTTGTACCCTTGCTGTTTTCCATTTGTAAAAAAGCCCTCTTTTGTACGCAGATGATAAGAGGTCGCCTGTGTGATGACACCAAACCTGAAACATTTAACCAGCTGTGGACTGTTGAAGAACAGGTGACACTTCTAACGCATTAGTTTAAAAAAATCTAAACTGTTAATAGTAGAATTAGCATGATCAGGGAGTGCTTATTACATGTAATCCTTTTAATCGTGAGTTTAAAGTGTTTAGACTTACTGTTGTACACCCTTTTGCTCATTTTAAGATTTTTTTTATTTTTGGCTCGGTGAGGTGGTGCACGCCTTTAATCCCAGAAAGAGAGGGGCAGGGGCAGGGGCAGGTGGATCTCTGTGAATTTAAGGCTGTCTACTAATGAGTTCAGGCCAGCTGAGGCCTACAGGAAGACCCTGTCTCAAAAAGGTCGAAGGGAAAAAAAGAATTTTTGATTTTGGGAATATATGCACTCCTGTTTGGGGATACATTTTTTTTTTTTAAACCTGGTCTTGGGGGGAGGCTAGAAATGGACAGCTATTTTCAAAAAGCAGCTTAGAGACAAATCTCAAGACAAGCAAAGCCAAGCTTCAAAGTCTATTTATGATTTTTTTTTGTAGGGGGAGAGCTGATAAAGTACGACTGAAGTGTTCTGTGACATTTTGGCATATTGGTTAGGTTTGCCTGAGGTGACATCTGGGCATTGCCGCTTAACTGTCATTGAGCATTTTATAAAATGCCTTAGGAGAGCTTTGTTTCAAGTATTAAATAATTGTGCATCTTTAGGGTTGACATGAGGATTTAAAAACTAAGTTATAAGTCAGATACTTGAATGACAGACCACACAAAAATGGGGAAAACCTGTTAATACTCTAAACCTAGTGAATTTACATGTGTTTTGTAAAAGCTGTAGGGAGCTCCTGCAGGCCACTGATAGTGGAAGCTTGGCTGGGACATGCGCAGTATTGACTCACCTCTCCACTGTCGTCTTGTGCTGTTTTGATACTGAAGTGGATAGCGAACCTTCATAGGCTTCTTAGTTTTATTTTCTAATCCCATTTGCCAGTGACGTCTTATATTCTTAACTAGAAACTTGTTACTATGAGGATTTCTAACAGTGCAACCCTGTAAAGTTGGGAAAGGAGTACTGTCCTTTGAAATGAAATGTGAATGTATCTATTTAGGAATTTGTTATTTTAAATTAAATACTTTTTTCCTGAATTTTTTGGATTTTTCTTGGATTTGGTGTAGAAAAAACTTGAACAGCTACTCCTGAAATACCCTCCTGAAGAAGTAGAATCTCGACGTTGGCAGAAGATTGCAGATGAACTGGGCAACCGGACGGCCAAACAGGTGAAGGGGATGGACTGCAGGCTGTTTCCAGGGTGGGTCATTCCAGTGGAGAATCGGGCAACTAGCATGGCGTCGCTGCCACATCATGGCTAGCTGTAGTGTGGGGTATTTCTTTTCATTGGTTAGCACTGTCTGTCTTTATGTTGATTTCAGTAGTAGCGTGAACCCTGCTTTGGATCATTACAAAGCTCTAACAGACAAAAAAAATGGACCTGGTACTTCTTGAATGCTTACTAAGTCCTTTTTGATTAGACTGTGCTCGTAGATTTGTGACTTTCATTAACGTCATTTCCTGGTTGTCTCTGAAATGGACCTCGCTGTTTCTCCCTTTACATTCCCATCTATGTTAATAGATACAATTTTATACTGTAAGCATGAGTGTTCACAAGCCAAAAATAGTGTTTAGCTTTGGAATCAAACAAATTTTAATTTACTTGAATTGGTTTTGTCTAGATTTTTAAATATCAGTGTCTTTGATGGCAGTTTATTTTTAAAACTACTCAAATATCACCCATCATCTCCCACGTTTCCTTAGGTTGCCAGTCGCGTGCAGAAGTATTTCATAAAGCTGACAAAAGCTGGCATTCCAGTTCCAGGCAGAACACCAAACTTATATATATACTCCAAAAAGGTAAAAGGAACATAGATGAAAGCAAACCTTAGTTTAAATTCATTGAAGTCAGAATTGTTTTGCACAGGTATTAGACTCTGCATGTTCATATTTGTAGACTATGCTCATTTTCCTTTTAAAATTCTGTTCAGCCATTTCATTGTGTTGGGCATAAATGAAGGATTGGATTCCATTCTTGCTACTTAGAAAAATTAGCTGAGCTTTAATGACTCTTCACTGTTTTCTTGGGGGTAACATGAAAAGAGTACTGATTGAAAGATTTTTGTAGCCATTCTGTGTTAGCAGCTTCTTTGTGAGGTTTGAGTTTCTAAGATGTTTGACTCTTTAATATAGGCAATATCTATTTTGTAACTTTGTTGCATAAATCCTCAAATAGAAATGTTTATTAAGATACATAATCCTCGCTGCAGGTCTACACGTCCAGGTGTGTGCATTGCCTTTCTTGACTGATGATGCTAACAGGTGGCTGTTACAGAAGCCAGGCACTGTCCTGGAACCCTTTATAAGGAGGGAAACTGGACCTTACTGTATGTGGAGTACGTTGTCTGGTCATAAAACTAGTAACTCTGAGAACTATGGGTTTTTCTTTTAAATTTTAAAAAAATGTTTATGTGTCTGAGTGTTATGCCTGCATGTATGTAACTGTGCCCATGTTGTGTGGTGCCCTTGGAGGCCAGAAGAGGGCTCTGGATCTCCTGGAACTAGAGTTATAGTTGTTAGCCACCATGTGGATGCTGGGAATTGAACCCCGGTCCTCTGCAAGAACAGCCAGTGCTCTTAACCTCTGAGCCATCTCTCAGAGATGCGCCCCCCCTTTTTAATTAAAAAATTTACTATTATATAATTTTTGAGGCAGAGTTTCACTTGTGTCCCTAGCTGGCCTGGAACTTGAAGTGATCCTCCTGCCTCTGCTGGGAGGCAGAGTGCCAGGATTACAGGTGAACACTTCCATTCCCAGTTTCATAGTTATGCCTGGGTTCCCCAACCCCTCAGTGCTGTGGGTTTAACTCCGGGCTTCTGGCATGCAAAGCAAGTGTTCCTCCCTGCCTCTAACAGCAGTCCCCTCTGTGCCACACTTTTCCACTGTTCTTTGTTGCCTTGTGTTGTGAAAGAGCGCCTGTCTCTCTCCTATACAGCACACCTCATTAACTTGTAGACAGGTTGGGGGGCTCGTAATCAGAAAAACTAAGACACTTTTGGCCTTCCATCTCCTTAGTAAATCCTTCTAGCATCTTCTATCTTCTACCTCTTCCACTCTTACATAAAGAGAAGCTAAGAGCTTCTATAATACTTGTTACCGTTCTGGATGGGTACTGTTTTATGAAATTTTACATTATTCTATATAGTTTGTGTCTTACAGATTTTTTTATTTTTAAAATGATGTGTATGTGTTGGATATGTACACATGAATGTTAGTGCTTTTGGAGGGCCGAGGCATTGGATTCCTCTAGGGCTGGAGTTATAGGTGGTTGGGAGCCATCTATGTGGGTTCAGGGATTCCTACTCTTGTCCTCTGCAAGGGGGTCCTCTGGGAGAGCAGTATTAACTAAGCTTTTGAAGGTTGTTTCAGTTTGCCAGTTTTCAGTATTTTGAATCCCCTCCCCCCATATAACAGTTACTTTATTGGATATGTATGTAGCGTTCCTATAATTTTGGAATTGGAACCTTGAAAACCAGTGTTCAAAGTAATGGCTATATTTTTCATGGTTATTCTTCCTCTTCTCTCTCTCCCCCTTCTCCAGGGCCTTATGTATGCACTCTGCCACTGGGCTATATCCCTAACCCTTTATTATGATTAGTTATTCTAAGCTAACCTTATTGATGTGTAGTTTTTGCAACTTTGGTTTTCATAGCTAAGACTGGATAATGACAAAAAGAAAAAAGGATTATTGGAGAAGCCCAAATACGGTTTTTTTTTGCGTGTGGATGTATTTCCTTTTACGTTAATAGGCATTTTGATTGTAAAGATCTAGGGTAGTCTAGTCGTAAATGGTCATAATGACCCCTTGCCAAGGCAAGGCTTTAAATTCTGAAGTGAGTGAAATGATGGTTCTCCCTGAAGCTGTGGTTTCTCTCTATGTCTGATAGTAATAAGAGAGGTGTCTGCACAGTGTTCAGAGCGCGGGCTCTGCCCACGCAGGCCTGGTTGGTCATCCTGACTGCACTCTCTACCTGCACTGCCCTGACAAAGAAACAAAACTTCCACCTTGGTCTCTTCACCTGTAAATTAGAGGTGATACTTTATAGGAATATTGTAAGTATTAAATGACATTGGTATAAAGTGAGCAGTCAGTGTGAGGTTGTTACTGTCAGACATTCATCATATTATGGAAACTTTCCTTATACTGGATATTTACACACCTGGTTATTTCATGTTCTCTGACCTTCCATGTAAGAGGAGTTCAGTCGCACCAACATTTGAATGCGTGTAAATGTGGGGGTGCGAGTGTAAGTTAAGTAAGCTTTGCTTCAGGGTTCAGTTGTTTAGGAATTTCCTCCACATTTCTGTTTTCTTAAAGCTTAGCTGTCCTTTAAAAATCCAAAAAGCAGCCAGGTGTGCCCAACACCTTTAATCCCAGCACTCGGGAGGCAGAGTCAGGCGGATCTCGGAATTCGAGGCCATAGTGAATCCAGACCAGCTGTGGCTACAGAAAGACCATCTCAAAAATGACCCCCCAGAAATCCAAAAAGCTGTGACTTAAGTACATGCTAAAGCAGACAGAGGTCCTGCTGACAGAGTGCTAGAAGAGGCATTTGTATTTCTGTACTTTGATTGAGTTAATGATTTTCTACTGTTCCAATTTAAAAAATGTTTTCTCATCTAGTCTTCAACAAGCAGACGACAGCACCCCCTTAATAAGCATCTCTTTAAACCTTCCACTTTCATGACTTCACATGAACCACCAGTGTATATGGATGAAGATGACGACCGGTCCTGTTTTCATGGCCACATGAACACTGCTGTTGAAGAGGCTTCAGTAAGTCACCAGTATAATTGTACAGATCAGGGAATAGCTTGAGAGCCCCATGATTTTCTGAGTATTCTGACTCATCGTAGAATATGACCTAACAAGTCACATTTAGAGTTAATATGCTTTAATTTTTTTTATTAAGAAAATTTTACTATGTGTGTTAGTCGTGAGAAGGGCCCAGTGAACCCACACGCTTCTGTCACTCACATCAACAGCTGCCCCCTTGCAGTAGTCAGTCTAGTCTACACCTCTCCCTCCACCCCAGCTCCACTTCAGATTGTTTGGAAGGGCATCCCAAAGGCTGCATAACCAGGCTTGCAAAAGACAGTTCTCTGTCTAGTGGAGCACATAGCCAGTGAGCACGTCCCCATCATTTCAAAAGGTTTTTTTCCTAAACTTGGGTGGTTTTTTTTTTGGAGTCAAAGCCTAAACAGAGTCATTCTCTGATTTTTCCAATTCCTTTGCTTTCTCACTACTGTAGTGGAGAAATAATCATTTGTTTTAGAATTTTCCAGTATAGAATTGATTGACTGCATCTCTCTTGTGTTATTTAACTTCTTCCCCTGTTCTCCGAAATTTCTGCTAGGTGAGTGCTGTACCACTAAAGTCTGCCCTCAGCCTTTTTAAGTGTAATTGTAGGACACATGCTTAGCCTGTGAGGCGTCATTGCAGCCTTTCGAGTTTGCAGCTCCCTGTCTCTTTAGAAAATACCTACGTCTGCTGATTTAACCAGCTACAGGCTGAAATGATCTAGGGCAAACTTTTCTGTACCCCAACCTGTGTAGACTTTTATTTAACAACACTTGACAGTACTTTGAAGTGGATAAAAGACAGTACGAGCTACAGTAGTGAAGTATGAAACTAAAGAATCTTTTCTCTCCCTGAGGTCCTTGGACTTGACACTGTGCATAGACTGCTGTAGGCAGACTGAGAGTAACGGGGGAGCAGAGGAGGTAGATATCAAATGACTGATTGCAGAGAATTTTAAGTTGTGATAGGATTGGTTAGAGATGAGAGAAAAATAACTTAGAAGTGTATTAGAAAATTGAGGGTTCAAGTCATTATAGCTAATCAATTGTGTGGACAAGTATCCATTTCCTTGATATAAAATAAGCAGAGTGGTTAATAAGACCTAACATGATATAGGAGTGAGAGGTGGGAGTCTGTTCAGTCCAGAGTTGGGAATTGATGGAATGTGGAGTCAATAGCTTGGGAATGCATTTAGGAAACGGATGACCATGAGGTCGGTCGTTAAGTTGCAAAGGATCCTAGGTGGCAGATCATAAATTGGGGCGATACAAAACCAAGATAGTGGTTAGAAGTCTCAGGTTTTTAAAAGCAGTTTATTTTGTGATAAGACCTCAAGAAATGGAAGTGAACCTTGTAAGAAATCTCTGTGCTTTGAGGCAAGGTTCAAGGTGTGGCTATTAGAATGGGAAAGAGAGGATGGGAGACAAACTGCACTGTTAGAATAGACCTAAGGAGAGAGGTCAGAAATAGGGGACTGGACATCACTGGTGAGGGCCTTAGAGCGCCTAGCCTGATGAATGGTATTCTCAGAAGTGTTGAGCACACAGATTTTGCATGTCATACTTTTCAGCGTGAAAGTACTCACAGACATTTCAGGTATTGGAAGAATGTTCCAGAACATGTGTGACTCACTGTTCAGAATCATTAATGGATTTTATACCTTGTAGCTCAGTGTTTTATGAGCCCCTTAACTTGATGTATTTATATAATTTACACTCTATTCTTTTTTTTTAATATTTTTATTATTTTTCAATTTTATGTGTATGAGTATATTGCCTACATGTAGGTAAGTGCACCCGTGTTGTGCAATGCCCACGGAGGACAGAAGAGACCATCAGATCCCCAGAACTGGACTTACAATTGTTAGCTGCCATGTGGGTGCTGGGATTTGAACCTGGGTCTTCTGTAAGAACAACCAGTGCACTTAACCGCTGAGCCATCTCTCTAGCCCCTACACTCTATTCTTAATAGCCAGTGTGACAAATGTAGTATTTTGATCCTTCACTGGGAGTACAGAACACACAACAAGGGCAGAGATTGGTTTGCTTGTTAAGAAAATGGCATGTTTGTTGGGTGTGGTGGCCTTTAGTCCCAGCACTCAGGGGGCAGAGGCAGGCGGATCTCTGCGAGTTCAAGGCCAGCCTGGTCTACATAGTGAGTTCAGGTCAGCTGGGGGCTACAGGGTGACCCTGTCTCAAAATCAGTCAGTCAATCAGTCAAACAAACAAAAAAGTGCAATGTCTTAAATATGAGAAATATCAGTAGAAAAATAATCAGTATTGTATTTCTTACACTTTATTTTAATTATCAAACACTTTTGTGTTTTGTTCTTTTTAATAGGATGAAGAAAGTATTCCTATCATGTATAGGAATTTACCTGAATATAAAGAACTATTACAGTTTAAAAAGTTAAAAAAGCAGAAACTTCAACAGATGCAAGCAGAAAGTGGATTTGTGCAACATGTGGGCTTTAAGGTAAACTGCTTAATCATTGCATTTTTAAAAGGGTGGAAAGAGATATTTTTAATGCCTTCTGGTTGGTTAACACTTAAAACCCCTAAGCATCAGGGAAAGGTTAGTAAGTTTATTCTTTTTTTTTTTTTTTTTTTTTTTTTTGAGACAGGGTCTCCCTGTAGTCCCAGCTGACCTGAAACTCACTATGTAGACCAGGCTGGTCTTGAACTCACAGAGATCCATCTGCCTCTGCCTCCTGAGTGCTGGAATTCAATGTGTGTGCCACCACATCCAGCACACTTAACTATTTTTTAAAATTTATTTTTATGTGTATGTGTGCTTTTCCTGCATGTATGTGCACTGTGTGTGCAGTACCCACAGAAGCCAGAAGAAGGCATCAGACCCCCTTGAATTGGAGTTGTTAGCAGCCGGGTGTGGTGGCACAGGCCTTTAATCCCAGCACTCAGGAGGCAGAAGGCAGGTAGATCTCTGTGAGATCAAGGGCCAGCCTTGTCTACATATTGAATTCCAGGCCAGGTGAGGTTACAGGGAGATCCCATCTCAAAAACAAAAAGCAAACAAAATCACCTTCAAACAAATTTAATCAAAAATAAATCTTAGGAAAAAAAAAAGCTAGGTGAGGCTGGTGATGTGACTCCTTTTTGAGACAGGGTCTCCCTGTAGTCCCAGCTGACCTGAACTCACTATGTAGACCAGGCTGGCCTTGAACTCACAAGGATCCACCTGCCTCTGCCTCTAGAGTGCTGGGATTAAAGGTGTGCACCACCACGCCTGGCTCTATCTCTTGATCTTTTATACAAGTTGTGTGCTACAGTTTGGGAGTCACTGTGATGCAGTTATCTGTCACTTGAGGCTGTGGGATGAGACATTTCATCTGTTTGTCTTCTTGCCCCAGCTGCTCATGGGTCATCATTTCTTTCATTCCAGGCTGAGTTACCTCAGCCCTGTGTGAAGAGGCTGGCACAGTGTCTGCTCTTGTACACAGTGCAGACCCTGCCAGGTACTAGTGGTTCAGAGTGAATGGAGAACTTGTGCTTTTGTGCTGTTTGATTCCATTTAGAGTTGAGTGAGTGATGGTTGAGTACAACTGAAGAGTGCGGTCAACTACACACTGAGTGCATTAGCGGCCAGGCGTGGATGCGCACGCCTTTAATCCCACCACTCAGGAGGCAGAAGCAGGCGAATCTCTGTGAATTCCAGGCCAGCAGGGGTCATAAGGAGACCTTGCCTCAAAAAGACCAAAGTTCACTCTCAGTATCAGCATCAGAGAGGGATCCAAGACTTCAAGGAACTGGAAAGTTTGCCGAGGAATTTTAACAATTCCAAAAGGTTCCCATGGAGAGATTTTAGGGCAGAGAAAAAAATGAAATTTATGTTTCTGGAAGAGAACTTGGATTTGATAATCTTTAGGAAGGCACCAGATTTAGAGCACAACAGCTGTTACTCATTCACTAGTACTAATGTTGTAAAACAATTTATTCATGTACATTGTCTATATAATTCAAAAATATGTAAGTGAAGTGGGGTGGGAGATTATTTGGCTAAGGTGTGCAGACTGGATTAGAGGAAGGTAAGACCAGAGGTAGGAGATGGTGTGGAGATTCTTCTCAGAATTAGACAAAAGCATGGCCTGCTGCTATAGATATGGAGGCCGCAGGCTGGAAAATCAATGGGCTTTAGAAGCAACCCCACGTGGTTGACTTTGAGGAAGTAGCAGCAAGACCGCAGTGTGTTGTTCTGTTGGCATTGTGCATAAAAGTGTCAGTGCATATCGTGACTGGTACCTGAGTGGCAACCGAAGGACAGCCGTGGTCCTCCGCTGTAGCATGTGGCCGCACTACGTGAGCTAAGCTTACCTCGTAACCCCTCGCCCTGTCCCCTCCTTTTGCTTTTCCTAATTGCAGCTCTGGCATTTCAATAGGAAACTGAGTCCTTGCCCCATCATTGGGTTATAAATCCCAGCCGTGGCTTGCTGGTCAATGTGTCGGCCACTTTAGTTGGCTTGGTAATCAGAGAATCTAGAAATGAGATTTCCTTGATACCCAGAATTCCATAGGGGACTGGAGGGCTTTTGTAAGGTACCACTTGATGAAGAACAAGCTGGGCCTGCCTTTTTGTCACCATAGGCTTTGGTCCTAGGAGTCAGTAAGATAAAAGTTTAGAAAGGATTTTGTAGTTGTCTGGGTTTCTGTCGATGATGCCATGTTGATAGACTGTTAGGCAGCTCTCTCACATGTTTGGACAGTCTTAACCCTGGAATGAAGTCTAATACTCAGTCACACTGGTTTAAAGTGAATGGTTATGAATGCCCAGGTTTGAGGTGATTTACTTAAAAACCTCTTAGGTAAATAAATATCGAAGGGGTTCCTCAGCATCCCTTAGATTTTGAGTGGATGGACCCTTACCTACTTCACTAGGAACTGTGTTTAACTTGTAACCAACGTGTTACATAACTGCACAGCTCTGGGGAAAGCTGTGACTTGTGTGCACATCACATGCTTCCCAGTAGAAAGTAAATATAGCCAAGCACTCTCCCCTTTTTGCATCTGTTACAGTGTGATAACTGTGGCACAGAACCTATCCAGGGTGTCCGATGGCACTGCCAAGATTGTCCTCCAGAAATGTCTTTGGATTTCTGTGACTCTTGTTCAGACTGGTAAGTGTTTTCTTCATTTTGGAACAGGTAAAGAACTTCTCATGCAGTACTTTTTTTTCTCCCCCCAAAATGTCTTACTTTTTAATGCATTAAATTTTGTTCTAGGTAATTAAAATTTTCCTTAGGTCATACCGTATCTCAAACAGCTTCCCATTACTTTTTTAGAGAGTAACTGTGAGAAAGTTTTATAATGTATAAAATGGATCTGGGGCCGTGTCCCATTACTTTTTTAGAGAGTAACTGTGAGAAAGTTTTGTAATGTATAAAATGGATCTGGGGCCGTGTAATGATCAGTGTATGTGTACTTTTTTCTTGCAGCCCACATGAAACAGATATTCACAAGGAAGATCACCAATTAGAACCTATTTACAGGTCAGAGACATTCTTAGACAGAGACTACTGTGTGTCCCAGGGCACCAGTTATAATTACCTTGACCCAAACTACTTTCCGGCCAACAGATGACATGGAAGAGAGCGTCAGCACTAATCCTCTCCAGCACATAGCAATGGCATCATTGTGGATGATGTGCAGTTTGGACACTCACAGTATGAGAGCTCCCCATGTTCTCGTCCAGTTCAGCTGCACTGTGTGGCTCTAGATCGCTGGTCAGCAGCTGGGTATCCTCGGTGAGCAGAGGGCTTCCCTGGTAGAAGTTTCGCCACCACCTGACGGCCTTGGAGGTGGTGATCTTAAATGGGTGTGATGGAAATGGGAGCGCACGTTAACGTGAGAGTAAATTCCAAAGGTTTCCAAGAACTTGGTCATAAATACAATAATGAGAAGACAAAGTATTTATATTAAAACAGTTTAGTAGCTTTCAGTTTGTGAAAATAGTTTTCAGCGCAGAAACTGACTTCTTAAGACAGTTTTAACCGATGGTGGTGTTTGCTTCTAGGACATACACTCTATAGAGCTCGCTGTCCCCGTGGTCACCGATGGCCCTTAGTAAACTGGAGCTGCTTAACCGTATTGCTATCTAACTTTTAACCACGATGACCTGTCCTTCCCAACAGTGAAGCACTACAGGAGGCAGTGTGGCATTGCTTCCTCCACCAGCTCATGGTGTGTGAATGTTATACATGTCACTCAGATATATTTTTTAAATGTAATGTTATATAAGATGATCATGTGATGTATACAAACTATGGTGAAAAGTGCCAGTGGTAGTAACTGTGTAACGTCTCTAATTCACAACATTAATCCTTTTAAAATACACAGCCTTCTGCCTCTGTGTTTGGGGTTGTTAGTACAACTCATCAAAGAAAACTGCCTAATATAAAAATCATATATATGGTGATAATTGCCCTCTTTTGTAGTCTGCACAAGATCCCTAAAAGATTGTATTTTTATTACTATTTAAACAAGTGATTAAATTTAGTCTGCACAGTGAGCAGGAGTTCACAAGCATTCTTTTATACTGCTGGATTTTGTTGTCATCATTTAAAACATTTTGTATGTTTCTTATCTGTGTATCCAATAAGTTCTTGAATAATGTTCATTTGTCAGGAGAACTGTGAGAAATAAACTATGTGGATACTGTTTGTTTATATTATAGAACGCTTGTTGTGGCTTCCTTTGGGTTGGAGTGTTAAAATCACAGTCCTTCCTTAGGGGTCTCTCATGTGTGTTTTCTTTCTGTTCTTCATAAGGAGTAAAGAGTGAGTTCGAGATCTGTTAAAGATGCTAGTGTTTTCATTCAGTGTGCTCTGAAACCCTGAACTAGCTCACACAGCAGAGCAGTAGACCATGTTTAATGAAAGGACAGTGAGTAATGTCCAGTCATGGGACTCAAACCTAAGTTGAAACTTTTGAGTTATTCTTTCTTGACAAAACTAAGTCCCCAAGTATTTAAACAAATGGTTTCCTAGAAATTATTACTAACCTAGAAAAAGATGGTATACATATTCTAAGGTGGATCAAGTGTTACACTGGTCCAGTTTTTAAGGTTACTTGGTTTTTAAACCCAGGGAACATTATTTACTTGGTCTCTTCAGTACTTATTAGCAGGGCAGATTTTATTACTAAAATCTACCCTGAATTTTTTTAATTGGGAAAAATGATAGAATTTTAAATATACAAATAAGAATTTTAAAGTAATATATTGACTAAATATCACTGATCACATTGATACAGTATATCATAATCGGAAAGAAAAGTAAGTGGACTTCTCATTCTGGAGTCATTACTGAAGATGGGGAGGTTGTTAGCAGTCCGGATATCTCTGTATTTAAGTGCTGTGCATGTGCCGGAGAGCTGCCTTCAGCTGTAACGTACAAGACGGTTCCTTGACGGGAACCGGTACCCTGCTTGTCTGTGTAGAAATAGTGCCAGTTAGTTTCGGAGGGCCCTTCAGATCCATTAAAACAGAACAAATCCCATAGAGGTTGAAATACGTTTGGAAGGGAGATATGAGCAATACAGGTGCTATGTAATAGACAACCCTGCTTGGAGACATTTTTTCAAGGGCAGAGATTTAAAGACTTTTGAGGTGATTAGATGGATTGTTTTCTGCTTGAACAGAGAAGTGTATTTTGAATTTTTCTGTTCTAAGCAGATAGTCCCCGTAGCTCAGTGGTAATGCTTAATTGTGTTGTTTTCATTCGAGGGTTGTAGAAGTGGGTGGGCTGTCCTTTGCAAGTAGACTTTCTGTCTACCAAGAAATACTGGCTGTAAGAGAAGCCCGACTGCCACATGTGCTTGTGGGACCTTTCTCGGGAAGTGGCCTTCAGTAGGTCAGGTTTGCTTCTTGGTGTCTGATGCTCGAGTCAGCTGCTGCTAGCTGGAGGTGGATTTAGTAAGACCTCAGGCCAGCGCGTGAGGGCTCAGAAGAGGTTTCTGAGATGTGCACTACTAGTGAATGCACCAAGCAAGCACATACTAATAACCACTTTCTCAACCTAGTGAGGCAGGTTCATTTGTTACCCTGTTTTCATGGGAAGAAATCCAGCCAGAGAGAAATGAAGTAACTTGCCCAAGGTTGGTTAGTGATGTGATGAGACTTGTCTTTATCCAACACAGATCAGCACAGAGTCTGCCTGCCTCACACCCAGTTTTCCAAGCCAGAATACCCCCTTCTTCCTTATTTCCAAGGAACACAGAGTGCTCTCCATTTCTTTTTCTCCGTGTGTTGCTAGAGTACAGCCTGAGCCCATGTCTACTTTTGTAGCACAGGAGAGAGAGGCCTGTGTGTGGACGAGGGCGAGCACCAAAATGCCCTGCCATTGTGACTGACAGACAGGAGCTGTGCGTGTGCAGTGCTTCCTACCTGACCCCAAAGGCATGCCTCGACTCTTCCTCCTTTAGCTTAAATTAAATCACAGAATGCAATTTAGTGAGGTGTGAGGAACATTTTTTAAAAATGAAAAAATAGCATACCATGGTGATAAAGATGAGTGGTTTGTGAAATTTCTTTTCCAGTCATTATAATCGTGAGATATGCTATCGAGACTATTTCTTACTGTGGCTAACTAAGTTCACAGTCCATTATTCTAAATGTACTGGATGAAACCGGTCTCCAGACCATATTGCCTTTTCCACAAGATTATGAAGATTAAAGCTGTAAAATTTTAGTTTGCATTCCTCGATGGAAGAGATGCCACTGTTCATACGATGGGGCCGGGACCCCACACCTTTGTCCCCACAATCTATGTAGCTGATGAAGTGGATTTCTGAGAGCTGTATCACTTTAGGTTCTATGAGAACAGACCATCCGTGTCTCTCTGTCTCTGGGACCTGACTTTTAAGTAATAGATTCTCCATAAGTATTTGTTGGTTGCGTGACCAATGTTTTGATAAATGTTTTATATATATGTGCATATATATATACATATATATATATATATTATATCCCCCCCACCTTCCTTGAGAAAGGTGGTGGGGCCCAATGCCTGAGGGGTCAGTGACTCTTAGAAGGCTTGTCTCCGTACGTCCCTGATGTTCCCTGGAGGACAGGGCCTTTGCATCCTACCTTACCTGGAGGATGTGGTTCAACCAGTCAGGCCATGCATCATCATGATTGTGATTTGCATGTATCTAGTGACATTTTGGGTCCTAGTCCCTGTTGGGGAAGTGAAGCCCTCATTAAATGGTGACAGAGCTGCCCCTTGAGTTCTAGGAACTAGTACATGATTTGCAGGCTCCTCTGTTGGGTTGATTAATACTAAGATCTCCATGGCATGGGTAAGAAACTGAAGGTGAAAGCATGTTAGTTCTCAGCAATAACAACTTGCGTGGGACTTGGGGTAAAGAGCCCTGGCCTCTGTGGAGCTTACAAACTACACAGAAGATAACTAGTGTCTCCGGAAACTTAAAACCACTTAGATTGGTGCCGTGAGGAAAAATAATACTTGAAGAAAAGAATAGGAAGTGCGAGGACATTGTCATTTTAGAGTGATCTAAGCTAGCCTCGTGGCAGAGGGATCGGCGTGGAGTCTGGGGGCTAGCTGTGTGCATCAGCTTTGGGAACTGGCTAGAGGATACCAGTGCCAAGGGCCCCAGAGGCAGCTGAGAGCTTGGTTTGCTCCAACAGCATGAAGACAGGAAAGGCGACTTGAGCCAAATGAGCAAGGGGAGGGTCCAGTGGATGGGGTCAGGGAGACCTGCAGGACCAGTTCCGGTGTGACCATAAAAAGGGTCATCACTGGGGAGATGCTGTTGTGTTCTGGGGTCCACATGCACACATACCTTTTTGCTAGGCAGAGACCACTGAGGTCTTTTATGTTTTAAAATCCTGTGATTTTAATGTAGTATGTCACTTTGAGTCATTCATATCAGCAGCGTTCTCTGAAAAACTGATTTGTACCTCCAGATGCTGCTGCCAACCACAGCCATACAAACCAGGGCTGGCCTGCCTGCTCTGCTCTCCAGAGCTATGGGCACAGAGTGTTTGCCAGTATCTGCGGTGTGTTTGAGAACATTAATCCCTACAGAGTTGTTTCATGTCTTCTGACACAACAGGAAATTTGCATCCTGTAATACTTTTTTTTTAACCTTTGCTTAAATACTCGTATTCCCCTGTGACAGCTTGGGGGGGGGGGTAGCGGTAAAGGATCTGACAGCTGTGTGAGTTGTGGGGACATGATGCATTCTGTTAATAGAGGCATAATTGTAACCAAAGAAACTTAATTTCTTCTCTAGCATACAGTGACATTTCTGTTTCAGAACCAGTGCTAGGGAAAAAAAGAAATATGAAAATTACCATGTATCATGAATACATTAAGAATTTCTCTGTAATAGCTCAGATCTGGTCTATGACCAAAATTAAAACCATATAAATGGATCATAATTTTCAATGATTTACTGTGTTTGCTTTTAATTCTGTTTGGAATTAAGGCTTTCATGCTTTACAGAATGATGTGAGTTACAAATAAATAGAGAAAGAATTCTCCTGTCCTCCATTTATTTTATTTTACATATCTGTTTCGAGGGAAAAAAATGTTTTTAAAAACACAGTTGTCTTGGAAATGTACCCTTATTTGCAGAGTCATTGAAGTAAAGAATCATGCAAATGGAAACCACAATCTTATGTAGTGACCGAGTGGAGGATGCGATAATTTCCCAAGAGAAGCAGCTCTGGTTTGACAACTCGTAGCACAAAAATCCCAAACTTCACTGGTTTGATGCAAGGCTTCTAAACCCATGAAAAGGGCTCACAGGAGACACAGAGGACATGGGAGCCACAGAACACTGGCTCGCTAACGTGCAAACCCCCACCCCCCCCATCAGTAATGATAGCCTCACTCTTACTTGGCAGTATGTCAGTGGGTAATCCTCTCGGATCAAAATTATAACATAGTTTTGTCCCAAGGAATGAAGTAACAAATCATCTCATGCCTTTTAATTACTTTTAGTCACTGATATTAATTTATGTACTTGCTGAAATGCGCCACCATGTGGAGGAGGACAGTGGGTTGTGTAACCAATCGGAATTGTTAGCCATTAATGATACTGTTCCAAGTACCAGTGGCCCATGACAGAATGGTACCAATGGTTGCCTGCTTAGAAGAAACTGTATAACGTCACATTATAAAACATTTCCATCAAGTTTTTGCTTGATGCCTCTGCACTCCAGAAGGCATTGTCTAATCAGCCTGCCCCCAGGCTGAGGACCAACATGGGGGAGATCAAACAAATCTTGATGGGAAAGAGGCGGTAGATGTGATGGAGAGTTAGGGATGTTGGCGCCCTGTGTGATGGTCAGACTCCAGCCAGCCCTGGGGACAGATCTGCCACGGCCAGGCCCCACACTGCTGTTTACAGCCTGACTGCTCTCAGGTGCAGCCTCATGAAAGAAAAACAAGTGTAGCGGAGTGGGTAGAACTGTCCAAAGTGAGGAAAGGGTACAGTTCCAGGTACACCATGCATGATTTCCAGCACCACTCACAGAGTTGAGCTGGGAAGTGAACAGGTTAGGGTGGGGTAAGAGTCGGGGCAAAGGGGAAACACTGTTAGGGATGAATTTCCTGCTCCTGTTTCTCAGTTTCCTTAACAGCTGTGCTTGTTCACTTTCAGAGGACAGAGTCAATAGCTGTGCAGAGTCGAAGGAAAACTTGATCTGGCGCTCCCTCAGCATTTACCTGTTTTTGAAAGGAAAAACAGAGAAAGCCTTCTGACATGTTTGCAAATAGGTCATTTTTAAATAAAAGGAGATCACCTGCTTTCGCTTAGCAAAATTTAAAAGGTAGGAATCCCCACACCCCATATAGAAGAAAGTGAAAAATAATTGCTTAAAAAGGCAGATTGGGGCTGGAGAGATGGCTCAGCAGTTAAGAACATTGGTTGTTCTTGCAGAAGACCCAGGTTCAAATCCCAGCACCCACATAGCAGCTAACAACTGTCTGTAATTCCAATTCTAGGGAATCCGACAGCCTCTTCTCTCTTCCGTGGGCATTGCAGAACATGGGTGCACTTACCTACATGCAGACAATACACGCATACACACAAAAATAATAAAAAGCAGATCCAGGGCTGGAGAGAAGGCTCAGTAGTTAAGAGCACTGGCTATTCTTGCAGAAGACCTGGGTTCGAATCCCAGTACCCACATAGCAGCTAACAACCATCCATAACTCTAGCTTCAGGGGATCCAACACCACCTCCGTGGGCATTGCATGACACAGGTGTACTTACGTATGTACATGGAGGCAGTACACACATACACAATATAAAAATTTAAAAAAGTTTTATTTCTTTTTTTGGTCTTTTTGAGACAGGGTCTCCCTGTAGCCCCAGCTGTCCTGGAACTCACTATGTAGACCAGGCTGGCCTTGAACTCACAGAGGTCTGCCTGCCTCTGCCTTCTGAGTGCTGGGATTAAAGGCATGCGCCACCATGCCCAACCCTAATGATAAAATTTTTCAAAAGCAGATCTTAGGGCTGGAGAGAGAATTTGGAATTGAGAACAAGATCCTCTTCCTGAGAATCTCAGTTTGGCTTCTAACGCCTGTGTCAGGCAGCTCACAACCACTAGAAACTCTAGCTGCCAGGGGGATCTGATGTCTGGCCCCTGTGGGCATCTGCATTCACATGCACATACCCATACACGGATACACACAGTCCTACACATCAAAAATAACCTTTTTAAAAAGCAGGTGCTTGAATTAAAACCAAAATGAGATGCCACTACACATTAGAATGGCCAAAATCCCAAGCACTGACTTCATCAAATGTTGGCTAGAATGTGGCACAACCAGAACCCACTGCAGGCGGGAATGAAAAACGGTACAGCGCTAGGAAGATGTTCCAGTTCATTAAAATATCCTCCAGCACTTGTGTTTCATGCTGTTTATCCAAATGAGTTGAAAATTTAGATCCACCCAAAACCTTTGCGTGAATATATATGAAAGCAGCTTTCTTCATGATTAACAAGTCTTGAAAGTGACCCGAGACGCCTTTTATTGTTTTCCATGGGAGGATGAAGTAGTGCTTTCAGATAAAGGCGTGTTACTCAGCACTAAAGAGAAATGAGCTATGAAGATGGAGGAGATGTAGGTGCATACTACTAAGTGGTGGAAGCCCATCTGAAAGGGTACACGCTGCCTGGGTCCCACTGTGACATCCCAGAGCAATGGATTGAGGACAGTGAAAAGATCCAGAGGGGAGAGGGGTAAGTCAGAAGTTACTCTATGAGGCTCCAATGGCAGATTCTTGACACTATTATAAAGTTGGTCCAAACTCAGAGTTCTGATGTTCATGTGTACCATTGGCTTTGGGTGACCATCAAGTATAGGTTCATCTGCTGTAACAAATGGACCACTGGTGGGGCATGTTGATAGTTGAGACAGTATTTGGGGATGTGGTATCTGGAAATTTGGCTCAATTTTGCTGTGAACCTAAAAGTGCTCGAGAGTAGAAAGTCCATTTAGAACAGTAACAAGCTAAGGGCTGTCTTCAAAGTAGTGTTAGGAATTGACAAAAGACTGGTGTTGGTTAACATGCGATTCCCAAGTGTCCGGGGACATTTAGAGCAGGGTGGATATAGGGCCTAGACAGGAGCAAGGTGTGGACGTGTGGCTAGGCTAGGGGCAGAGTACGTGGCCATGGTTCTGCACCCACAAAAGGAGCCAGTGGCAGAAAGTAGGAAGGGAAGCCCACTTCCTGGACACAAGGCACTGACTTTCAGCCAACCACTGGGGTTCGTTCCATCGTGCAAGAGTGATCAGAAGGCAGAGGCATGGTTACCAGAAGCACTATGGAAAGAGGTCAGGATGAGGCTGGTGGCCTGCCTTTAGCATACAGTCAGGGTTACTTTAGGAAAGTTGATGTGTAGCATTGCTAATTAGAGGGACTGGAACTTCTGCCCAACTGCAATCCTTGATGTAACTGGAGCGTGGTCAGGGAGCAGATCGATAGCAGACCAGGCTGCTCCCATTGTCCTGTGAGGCAGTGACTGCGGAGTTCTAGGAAAGGCGAAGATTCCAAAGGACTCCTCCCATAATTTTGGTTGATGATCATTCAGGCTTCCACCAACTTGTCACCTTCACACGGTTTTCACCATCACAGTGGACTGACAGCTCCTTCACACTGAACATGCAGATTATGACCAGCTTTTCACTTAGATGCAGCATCAGCCCAAAAATGCGTATGTTGTTAAAGAAGAAATTACTCAACATTGCTTGTCAAAGCACAGTGAGGAAGACCTCATTCATTACACTGATTTTTGTTGAGACTTTTCACTCAGAGTCCAGGGGACCTTGAATTTGGGGTGGTCCAGCCTCCAGTGTACTGGACTGTGGGTGTGTATGGCTGTGCCCATCTTTAATCATTTCTTTTGGGATAGGTATAGTGACCTAGTTCTGAACACCACAACACAGGCGAGAAGGAATTTACAGTCCAGGAGCAGGGCAGGGGCTGGTGGGTATAAGGTAACAAACAGCAGCAAGGGAAACTTGTGAGCCAAACCCACTTAACGGTTGTTGCAAAAGTCAGGCCAGGTATGGTGGCCCATGGCTGTAATCTTAGTACTTGGGAGGTAGAGGGAGGAGGAGGATCAAGAGCGCAAGGCCAGTCTCCTCTACATAGCAAATTCAAGATCAACCTGTACTTCCTGAAATCCTGTATCAAAGCCCAGGACAGCTGGGCGTGGTAGTGCATGCCTTTGATCCCAGCCCTTGATCTCTGTGCAGTGGAGGCCAGCCCGGTCTACACAGTGAGTTCCAAGCCATCCAGGGCTATAGGAAGACTCTGTCTCAAAAAAATAAAATGGGGACAAGCCAAGATGACGTCACCTGGGGGAGGATGAAGGTGGTGAGGAGGCTACTCAGCCCTGGTGATCAAATGGCAGGGCCAGTGTACAGCTAGGACTGAGCAGGGTTCTTTGATGAAAATGATTTTAACAGGAAGTACGCTGGAATAGCTGGGAGGTTCTGCCGCTTGACTAAATTTTGATCAAGCAGAGTCTTCATCAGTGTCCAGCAGGACAGTAAGTCTTAAAGACAAGGCCCTTGCTCAGCATTGTATCCCCAGGGCCTGGTAGGTAGGCGGGCTCAATGCAAACAAAAAGGTTGAGTGGAAGACTGTCACGTGCTTGCTTTCTTCCTTTCCTCACAGAAAGGAGCCCGTTTTCTGGCTAGGATCCTGGGCTACGTGGGATAAGGGATACTCTCATAGAAACCAAGCAACTCCCTTCCTCACAGAAGGCCATTCAGTGCCAGCTCTGAAGGGCGATGCTTGTGATTTTTTGACCAACCAGGCTGAAGCTGGGGGTGGTGGGAGGGCTGGCGCTGGACCCCTGCCCACCTCGGTTTCCATGTAATACCTGCTTCCTCATTTTACATCATGTATTAAATACAGGGACTGACTTATTTAATTAAAGAAAACTGCTTCCCTGGAGGCAGGCTGTGGAGTTGGATTTTGTGAACTCCAAAGACCTGGGGAAGTTTAAAAACAAAATGGAGGAATCAAGTTTGCCAGATGGAAAAGCGGCCTTCTCGCCTGGGTAGGAGGAAAACCCATTAGCAATCTGCCATCCTAGTTAGCTGCCGAAGCAGAGGCTTGAGAGCAAAATCTACAGGCAGACAGTCAGCCTCTTCCTGGCAGGAGGTGAGGCAGGCTGTGTTGCTGGAGTGGCGTTTAGGGGTAAAAGAAGCTGTGGGGTGGGTGGCTCTGGTTCTTCCCAGACCACCTCAACACTTCTCCATTCCAAAGAGGACTGTCCTTGCTCATCGAAGTTCCCATAGAAAGGATTTTTTTTAAAGATTTGTTGATTTTTATTATTTATTTTTATGTGTAAGAGTGTTTTTGCTGTGCATGTAATGTCTTCAGAGGCCAGAAGAAGGCATCAGATCCCCTGGAACTGGAGTTTATGGATGGTTGTTAGCTGCCATGTGGGTGCTGGGAACTAAACCCAAGTCCTCAGCAAGAGCAGCCAGTGCTCTAAACTACTGAGCCATCTCTTAAGCCTCCAAAACACTTACTTATTTTCACTTTATGAGTGTTGCACCTGCATGTATGTAAGAGGGTCTCAGAGTCCCTGGCACTGTTTCACACGTTTGTGAGCCACCGTCTGAGTGCAGGGAACTGAACCAGGGTCCTCTGCAAGAGCAGCCAGGGCTCTTACCTGCTGAGCCATCTCCCGTATAAAGGGTATTTTAAGAGAAAATAAGTGGCTTTTATATTTCTGTATAGAACTGCAACTCAAAGGAAATGGGACAGAACCACTTTATATGTACTGAGCTAAGTTTTATGGGCTTTTATTTTCTTCTGTTTTTTAGAAAAGAAGTCCTGTAGCTTAGGCTATCCTCAAATTTACTATGCAGTCCAGGCTGGCCTTGAGTTCCAGATCCTCCTGCCTCCCCTCCCCCTCCTGAGTGCTAGGATTACAGGCTTATATCCTAAGATCCACTGTTGGTGCTATTAGCTTTTGCACAGTTAAACCACTTAGTTAACAAGGTGTTCCAATTCAGTGTCCTCTTAGACCAGAAAAGAATTCATGGGATGAGCAGATAGGTAAGAGTTAAGACTCCCTAAACTGAACTTGAGAGGACTCTGCCCTCCACCCTCCACCACAGAGAGCCTCCTCATTACTGTATAGCAACTCCTTTTCCTCATCAATAGTCAAAAGTAGTTTCAGGACTGACCTCACCCCAGAAATCCCTAATCTGAATCAGTGAGTTAAACCGTAGGTTTCAGTGTGATGAACTGAGGTTAGTAGGTTTGTTTCCAAGAGAGGATTTGCCCTTTGGAGACTGAAACTTGATATTAAAAAACAAAAAACAAAAAAAAACCTGCAGTAAGTGATGTCCTGATCAACACGGGGAAAAACAAATTGTTTGTTTTTAATCAATAAAGCTACAAGCAAGCAGACAGGAAACTATCGGGAAGTGAGCCCAGCAGACCTCTGTGGCTGTGCTGCTTTCTCTTCTGTCATGAAACAGCTGGCTGGTTCAACCTTGCCGTCTGGCCCCGTTTCTGCATCTCCCACACTGTTCAAAATGCTTTTGAGTTTCATCTTTGTTTTCTTTGTGTTGTGATGGTGGCTTCGGGGACCAGTCCTGGCTGTCACAGTGGACTATGATCACAGTGTCAGTGTGCCACCAACTTCTGTTCTTCATGTTGGGCCAGGGAGGTGTCATGACCCTTTCCGACACTCGCTCCCCCATCTCCAGGTGCAGGCCAGGTCTGTTCCCTGCAGGGACATGCTCAGGGCGGGGAGAGGTGGAGCAATGAACTTCCTGTACTCTCTAAGCATGTGTTCCTTCGGAACCTAGGGGGAAAAGCTTTGTCTCTTTCCTTCCTCCCTCCCTCCCTCCCCTTCTTCCCCCCTCTCTTTCATTCTTTTCTTTCTTTGAATCATAGGAAAACAGAATTACAGGGGCTGCTGTCAGCCCACTTTATTTCAGGAAGAGCTTCAAGGCTGAACCGTAAGATGACTCACCAAGGTCCCCAAGGCCGGGTTGGGACTTTCCAGCGCCCAGGCCAGAATTTCCTATGGTATCTGGTAAGCAGTGGCACTTTTCACCCCAAGTGCTCCATTTCCAGTTGCTTACTCAGTAGTAAATTCACTCAAGGTGAAAGAGCACTTCCTCTCTTGGGCTAGCTGTGTCAGCTGGGTGTTCTGCCCTGAGACTGCACAGCACAGGAAGGAGGCCCAAGATGATGAATGGCATCTGGAGGGCCAGGACAGACTGGAGAAACCTGTGCTGATTCTCTCCTGATGCAGAGCAAGGCTTTGCTTTTTGAGATGGGGAAGAAGAAGTCATGGGATACGTTTGTACCACACACGTCTAGCCTGGGTGTGTGTTTCAGGAGTTGTAATTTGACAGCAGCTGTGTGCACAGCAGACTTGGTGATGCAGTGGGGCGGGCAGTGTCTCGATCTGTTGTTTCACCACAGATCCCACTGTCAGTATCCTCCAGGAGCAGGGGAGGCCCAAGAGATGAGCCAAGAGCCTTGAAACCTCCTTCCTCAGGAGAGTGACTGCGAACACTGTAAGGCGATTTCAGAAGCCAGGCTTTCCCCAAGAACCCTGCTGGTTCTGTCCCCACGTGCCAACCATGTAAGAGTTTGCAGTATTCAGATTCAGATAATTCAAGAGCAAGAAGAAGGATTTTCTAATTCTGGAACTGAATAAACCCTGAATTTCTTTCCCCACTGTCAAAATTGAAAGTGGAGGTAATTCTCTTCTACCAGGACAGTTCTTGTCCCAGGCTGCGCAAAAGGGGAAAATTAAGCATGTGTCCTTACATGATGACCTTTTAGTTTATTATTTTTTAATAATAAACGTGGCGGGGGAGACAAAAGTTCAGGAGTTGACTCTCTCCCTCTGCCCTATGGGTCCTGGGAATTGAACTTGGGTCTTCATGCTTGCTGGTTTGGTGGCAGGCACCTTTACTCACTGAGCCATCACCCAGCCTGCTTGTTTCTAAGGATCTAAACCTTTGATTTTTTAAAAAATACTTTATTATTTTTATGTGTATGAGTATATTGCCTGCATGTGTGTAAGTGCACCTGTGTTGTGCAGTGCCTATGGAGCTCAGAAGAAGAAGTTGGATCCCTTGGAACTGGAGTTACGGATGGTTGTTAGCTGCCATGTGGGTGCTGCTGGGATGTCGAACACAGGTCCTCTACAAGATCCGCCAGTGCTGTTAACCACTGAGCCATCTCTTCAGCCTCTAATCCTTTGGGATTTTTTTATGGCAACAAGTGGTTACTCCAGGAAGTTAGATCAAGAGACATCTTTCTGACTTCCAAGCCTAGGGCTTGTTAAGAGCCTGGGAAATGACCCTTCAAGAGGTTTAGGAGGTTAGTAGTCACTCTCAATAGTTTGCCTCAAGGAATAGGTAATGCAGACTCAGAGAGCAGTTTGTCACTAGTGGACTGGGGCCTGCCATCCTGCTCTGAACAGCAGGAGGTGGCCTGCACCCTCTCACCCTGTGTGTCCTCAGCTTTGCCCTTAGGTGACTGCTGCGGCCTCCTGTGGCTCCTCACCCTACCTTCCAGGATCTACGCTCCACAAAACAAGGGCCAAATAGAAGCCTGGTTTACCTCAGCCTCCTTTGGAAGTTCCCATCACCCACAGGACATGCCTGGCTCTGGCATCTTTGATGCAGTCCTTTGAATGCCTCTCCACACCTCTCTGTTCCTCTGTCACTGGCCCTGTGTGTCATAGCCAAGCAAGTGATGTACCCCTTCTGACCCTGGGGCCTCTTCGGTGGGAGGCGCCCTGCTCCCCTACTGTACCCCATTCCACATAGCTCTTGGTGATCTCCCTGACACTTTGCTTTCTCCTTAGACTGCACACAACACCATACTTGCTTTGGTGCCATGCTTCCCCTACTAACACTGGGTATCAGCTCTGTAGGCTAGAACTACAGCAGACCACTAGGATGGTGGATGGGTCAGACTCAAGTTGCAGACTTCAGGACAGAATGGGAACGGAAAGTTTGCCAGGCACATGGTACAAATGGTGTCTGTGGATCGCAGCACATGATGTTAAGTTGGTACCACAGTCCCACTGACTGACCTGCCTCGGTGCTTCTCCTCCAATCAGTTATTGCAAGAAATTGACATAAAGTCAAGTGGCAGTTGTGAACTATGTGAACTCAGAACCCAAAGGTGCTGAATCTAGGATCTGGAAGAGGTCTGCGTTTTGGATCGGCCTGTCCTGTTTAGCTACAGACTGGAATTCATCTAGAGTGTGTGGCTGGATCTTCATCTCAGTCTTCCTCTCTCCTCATTTCCTTTTGTAGTGCTGGGACTTGAACCCAGGGCTCATGTGTGTTAGGCAAGCACTCTATTCCCAGCTCTTATGTTTTATTAATTTTGGGACAGAAGCTCACTAGGTTGCGCAGGCAGGCCTTGAACTTGCTCTGGAACATGTGGGCTTCCGGTCTCAACCTCCCGAGTAGCTGGGATTATGGGCCTGGGCCCTTAGTTAGGCTGTGCACTTGTCTCTCTTTGAAAAAGGAATGTTAAGCAACTATAATGACACCTGGTGACACTTCTATGTCCCTCTTTTTATGATCCATCTGATAGCATATTTAACAGCAGTGGAGAAAGACGGCAATTTGTGTTTTGGCCTCAATGCTGCAACTGCCTGTAGCTCCTCCCAGATCCCATAAGAAAGCCCACTTTTTTCTTGAGGCAGAAAAGAGGCAGTGGGTTCGTTTGTGGGAGGGGTGACTTGCCTTCCAGAGCTGTGTTTTGGTCTCATAGTAGGCTACGACAGGGATGGACGCTCGGTGGTAGGCCTCCAGGCGCTTGGCGATGGTCCTGCCGGTGTCCTCCCCGCGCTGGCTGCTCTGGCTCCTCTGCAGAAGGCGGCTGGTCATGGTGTCTGCGGAGCAGTCCATGCAAATCACCAAGTGCGGGTCTCCAATCTGGGTGGAAGAGCAGAACGCAGCACGGTCAGAAACTCCACTCAGGCGGTGTTCTCTCTGGGGCCCCTAACTCTCACATTTCTGGGCTTGTTGGTTTGCTCGAGTGCCCAGCACTGTATTGGAGCTGGGACTGGAATGGCCTGTCATTTCCAGGGCCGACCCCAGCACCTGCTGCCCCAGAGCTCTGACCTGTCCTCGGCTTTCAGATTTCATTTCATAATGCAGTGATTATACGCTACCCAGTGTGGTTGGTCTGTCCTTCACCCGCAGAGGAAGGGGGTGTGCATGTATGTGTACATGCATGTGTATGTGTATGTCCATGTATGGGCATGTATATATGTGCTGTTCTGTATGTGAAGCTTTCTCTGATCTACCAAGACAAAGCTGATCCTTCCTCCTTCTTGCCCCCAGCATGTAATTCCAGACACCAGGAGCACGGTGTGCTGGGCGTGTGTTACAAAGGGAGTATAGTGGTTGGTGAGCAGGTGCAGATTGAAGTCTGTTAGGACCAAAGCCTGAGGTAATTCGGCTCAGAGTGGACTTTATTAACTTCACGGAGCTACAAAGCTCAGCTCTCTACACACTGCGTCTGTGCTGTCCTACTGTCTTTTGAACAGTGGGATGGGGTGGGAATGAGCCCTGTTCTTTTAGAGGCCAGGCCACAGCTTCTTAAACTGTTTCCACTCATGACCCTTTTTTTGCCTGAGAAATTTTTTATGCTACTCACTGTAGGTATATATAAGTATACAGAATAGGCACACAAATCAACATTTACTGAAAATAAATCATAAATTTATTTTAAAACAATTCTTTGGTATATGTATAATTTTGCCATTTATTAAAGATGAAGGCAAATTTGCATGCTAATGAGAGTTGTTTGTCTAACACAGTAGAATCCAAAGATGTGCTAGTTTGATACTGAGGAAGGATGGTAGGAAATAGATTTCTTTCTATAACTAAGCCATTATGTTTCTGTAAAAGCAGAAAACTTTGTATGAACAGTAAAAGCACTGCAATTCAAAGCACACAGTCTCCAATGGAGTGGAAGCAGGCTTGCTAGCCTTGCAAGGTACAATAGTGCACATAGGCCTGAATCACTGATATTTTTATTTTAAAACAATTTTAAAAGATTTTTTTAATGCATATTTGTGTGAATGTATGCCATGTGTAGGTACCTGTGGAGGCCAGAAGAGGGAGCTGTATCCCCTGGAACTGGAGTTATAGGTGGTTATGAGCTGCCTGATGTAGGTGTTAGGAAGAACAGCAAAGCACTCTTAATTACTGTGCCATCTCTCCAGCCCCCTGAACATTTTTTTGAAATGTTTGAGGAAATTGCTTTTTTCAAAATGCTTGGACATTTTGAAAGAAATGTTACATGGAGCAGATCTCTGGCTCTTAGCTCTGCCCTCTCCTCATGGGGCTGTGGTTCACCTCCCATATCAAGAACGTAGAGAACTTCACCTGCATCAGTTACTGTTTTCGTTGCATTGACAAGATACCTGGCAAATGCAACTTAAGGAAGGAAGGGTTTAATGTGGTTCACACTTTGAGGGTACAGTCCATCACGGCAGGGCAGGCATGGTGGTAGAAACGTGATATGGCTGGTGACACTGCATCCACAATCAGAAGGGGAGGCTGAATGGTTCAGCTGTTAAGAGCACTTGTTCTCGTGGAGGACCTGGGTTTGTTTCCCAGCACCCCCATGGCAGCTAACTCAGCTGTTAAGAGCACTTGTTGTTCTCGTGGAGGACCTGGGTTTGTTTCCCAGCACCCCCATGGCAGCTAAAAACAGTCTGTAATTCCACATTGTCTTCTGACCACCTTGAGCATGCATGTGAGGCATGTGGGTACAAGACGCTCATAGACATAAGATAGAAACAAATAGACTTTTAAAAAGAGGCAGAAGGAGATGAATGCTGGCGTTTAGCTTGCTTCCTTCTTTTTGTGCCGCCCAGGACCACAGCCCATGGGATGGTGCCACCCACATTCAGGATGGGTCTTCCCTCCTCAGGTCAACCTTTCTGGAAGTACCTCATAGACACACCCACAGGTGTTTCCATGGTGATTTTAAATCCAGTCAAGTTGACAATAAGATTAACCACCAACCCTGCCATTGTCTGGTTCACAGAGACTTGGAGACAACTCCCTGCCTCCCATATGACCCTGCCAGCACGCCGGGATGCCTCCAGCATCTTTGGGTTCTTCATGGATTTTGGCATCCAGAGGTCTTCCATTAGACCACAGGTGTCCTTACCAAGACGTAAGGATTCTGCCTGACCTGACTGCAGTCATCCTAAACGGTGACTGCCCCTGACTACTCAGATCTGTTTTCCCTACAGTTTCCCAGTAAACTCTGCATTAACAAACCATGACAGTACAATGTAGAGCTTTACAATCAGATACTGGTGTACTCGAGATAGATGCTGTGCAATGAGACCTAATTATTCTGGAACAGAAAGGCTGTTGACAGCCCATAAATAACATTTCAGCTGGGTGTGGTGGCGCACGCCTTTAATCTCAGCACTCAGGAGGCAGAGGTAGGCGGATCTCTGTGAGTTCAAGGCCAGCCTGGTCTACATAGTGAGTTCCAGGACAGCTGGGGCTACAGGGAGACCCTGTCTCAAAAAGACCAAACAAAAAACAAAAAACCAAACCATTTTAACTGCTAAACCCACTGGGCTAAAGGTTTTAGACAGCCAACCTCTAAACCCTTAGAGCCCCCACTTTAAGGATGCTAATGTGGAAGTTTCAGGAGGCTAATTTGCCTAAAGTCACTAAAGACTTGCTAATACTGCACCCAAGCCAGCTGCATGTGACTCCAGAGCCTGGTGACTTTGGTAGACAGAACCAGGGCCCTCAGAAGAGGATCGGGGATCGAGCAAGGTGGCAGTGAACACAGGAGCCAGAGGAGGAACAGAGGCTGGGGAAGGAGGTGGGGAACGTCGGTGTGAACGGCACCGCTCATTTTACTTTTTGAAAATTGTGTCTTACTGCCTTTTGGGGTCTATCTAGGATGAGCACCTCTGGGTGGTCATGTGACAATGGTTTCGCTTTGGTAATTCCAGCAAGTAGAGGAGGAAGAATCCTGGTCCTGCTTCCCTCTGACCCCACCTTAGATTTCTTAAAAATCTTTTTTACATGTATTTATTCGTGTGTGTGTGTGTGTGTGTGTGTGTGTGCGCGTGTGCGTGTGCATGTGTGTGTGCGCCTGTGCACGTGTGCATACATGCACCTGTTCCATGGAACACATGTGGAAGTCAGTGGACAACTTGCGGGAGCTGATTCTCTCCTGCCCTGTTTCAGCTCACCCCAGTCAGAATGATTAAGAAAACAATTGACAACAAATGCTGGTGAGGATGTAGGGAAAGGGGAACCTCATTCACTGCTGGTGGGACTGTGAACTGGCGCAGACACTACAGAAATCAGTGTGGAGAACTCTCAAAAAGCTAACGGTAGATCTACCATATGACCCGGTGTTACCACTCCTTGAACACATCCAAAGGACGTGATATCCTACTATAGATACTTTGTCAGCCACGTTCATGCTGCTCTATTCACAACAGCTAGGAATGAGCACAACCTCAATGGATGAATGAAGCGTGAACATGTGACACATTTACACAACGGAGTTCTATTTCACAGCAAAGAAAAATGAAACCATAAAATTTGCAGTAAATGGGTGGAACTGGAAAACATTCTATTGAATGAGGTAACCCAGACCCAGAAAGTCAAACACTGCAAGTTCTCTATTTGTGGCTCCTAATTCTGAATCATTAGATGTGCATGTATAACCTGAAGTAAATGCAGAAGCCGGGAAAGCATGGGGGGAGGGAAGAAAGAGCTCCAGAGAGGCTCAGAGAGTAGAGCACAGGTGATATCAAGGGGGAGGTGGGAATAATGGGGGGAGGATAACTGGGAAGTGGGAGCGGTAATACAGAGGGAGAAAGAAGAGTTGATAGCAATAGAGATGTTTGAAAAAGCTATAGGGAAATGTACTATTTTATAACTCACTTAAAATATACATAATATATTTGTGTGTGTGTATAGCCATAGGCTGACAAAAAACCCCAGTGCCTGGCATGGGAAACCTTCCTTCAAGCTGTTGGTCAGAGTAGTCTAAGAGATTCACACAACACTATAGGCTATTGTCACTGTTCTTAGTTGCCTCCCAAAACTCGAAGGTAAGACCCTTTTGCTGAAGACACCACATGCTTCAAGCCCAGGCTTTGAGGAATTGAGGTAGATCTGGCCTGGAAGCCTCCTCCCTGAGGAACAGCTCTCACAGTATTGGAAGGTGCTATGCAAGATGCCAGGGGAGAAGAGCATTGACAGTCCTACACATCTGTCTGTAAAGACTAAGAACCGCAGCAATGACTGAACCAAGACATCCCTAATAATGCAATAGTGGCACTTTTATCTTGGGGGGTAACGAACAGCTGTCTAATTGGACTCAAGACCACTCAATGTGAGGGAAATCATACCTGACTCTATAAAGCTAGCTACTACCAGTGACTGGTGATGTCATAGACCCTAGAGGAGCGCCTACTACTGCCACTTCCTAAGCCAATATGATTTCTAACTGTATTCTGAATACTTAATCTTATAGTCACAGAAAAGTGTATCTCTTGCCTCTCATCAAAGGAGCTTCTTTGTGCAACAGATGAGGACTGTGCTGTGGGGATCCACAACTGGTCAGGATGCAGCAAATAAGTGACTATAGGGTGCCTAGTCCCCATTGATATACCTACAAGGTAACTTCTGTATCTAAGGCTCAGGGAAATTCACAGAAGAGGGAGGATATGATTGCAAAGAGAAGATCAGGACACCTGCTGCAGGATAATATCTCCCAGGCAGACCTGAAAGATGTTTAACCCATGAAATCTCAAAAGTAGTCTAAATGAGACCTACATAAAGAAACCAGTTGACATGCCAGTGTGGATGGGAGAAATTCCACAAAGTCCCCCACCTTTAGATGAAGAGTTAAGGCAATCAATGGATGCTGAGAGAGGGAGAATCAGTTTTCTCCAAAGATGAGCTCTCAATAATTTATCTAACCCCAAGTGCTCAGTCCTAAACACAAGTACATGGGATCACCAGGAAATGGACTACAAGCTGATGCTTCTCCCTCCTGAGGACTGAGATGTTTGCTCCCCCTGAAACCCGACTCAATGGGGTCCAAAACAGGAGGGAATTCTGTTTTCTTTTATGGAGGTTTGCCTGACTGGTGGGAATTCGTGCTTCCCCAAAGGTCAGGGACAACCCACAGGCCACACGACTCCTGAGCTCACCCTACCTGGTTCAAGGTAGAGAAGGAACAAATGGTGACTAGGAATGCTGAAGGTGATGTGGGAAAGTGAGGGACCCCAACACGGACAACAGTTCACAGCTGCTTCCATCTTAAGAAACACATTTATATATGTGATGACATTTGATGCCCCTAAAACACTTTAAATAGGGTTTGACACGAGTTCTTTTTCTCCTTTCTAGCAGCAGAATAAAGCTCAGTGTCTTGCTCATGCTCGAATACAGCGGATGCCTTAAGGACGCCACCTCGGGAGGACACCCAAGGGTGTCCAATCTTTAGACATTGTGATATCATGTTACCACATCACATGGTTGGTCCACATTTGTAGCTATCCTGGGATGCATGTGCCCTGCGAGCTGCAGGTTAGACTCGCCCAAGGCTACGCAGATTGGCTATGGCGCTCTCATGGCTCAACATGTGACCCCATGGGTATCAAGTCTAGGATTTTTCCATCAGATCTAGCTTTAAATTTTCTAAACCCTAAGGTTATAATTTTCTACCAGCTCTAGCTTTAAATTTTCTATAACACCAAGGTTATAATTTTCTTGTTGCTTTCATCCTGTATTAGAGGGAAGAGGTGGGAGTTGAGGGAACCGAGTCAGAGAAGCCTGTATTTACCATATATCTTATCCTTGGTAATCTGGGAGTTTCAGAAGAATATTCTACTACCTCTGAGAGCAATTCAAGAACAGACTTCTCAGCCGGGCATGGTGACGCACACCTTTAATCCCAGCGATCGGGAAGCAGAGGCAGGTAGATCTTTCTGAGATGGAGACCAGCCAGAAAATGAGTGCTGAGGGGAACCTGGAGTCTCACGGAGTTCTGGGAGGAATAAGAGGTGGGATAACTGTGGTTCCATAGATGGATACTGGGGAAGTTTCTCAAAGAATTAAAAACAAGGTCACCTAGGAACACGCGGTACATGGCATATGCACAAGGAACTGAAAGCAGGACATTGAACTGATATTTGTAATAGTAGCATCGTTCACAATGTGCGGGAGTTGGAAGCACCCCGTCTCCATGGATGGATGATGTGTGTGTATTCACGCTACGATATGAACAGGCCTCGAGGACTTCTTGCCAAGCGAAATGAACCAGTCACGAAAGGGCAGATCTGTGTGTTCCCGCTTCTATCAGGATCCTAGGGGAGCCAAATTCAGACAGGCAGAAAGAAGAATGGAGGTCCAGGAGCACAGCAGGGAGGAATATAGAAAGTATGAGGACAGAGTTTCAGCTCAGCAAGATGAAAAGTGTCTGGAGATGCACAGCAGAGTTGGTTACACCACGGTATGAGTGCTCTAAACAACTACGAACTGTATACTTCAAAACAGTAAGGGCATCACATTTTGCTATTCATATTTTACAATTAAAGTAGAGCAGCCTCACCTGGGGTGGTCTCCTTTCCCGGCAGTCTGTGTGCCTCAGGTAAGCTGCCATCCCCCATGCTGGGTCCCTTAGGCTGGACTGATCAGCATATTCATTCCTTTCCCCTTGTCAGTGGGTGAGTATGAAGGAAACCCGACCTGGGTCTGTGGGGCTTCCCAGGGAACCAGAAACAGTTTTCTGGTTCCGGTCTGGAACCGGAGGAGAATGGGGCCAACATGAGGGGCAATCCAGAGCTGGAGAGATGAGAGCATGAAACTCACAGTGTGGTGGAATCTGCACCTAAGACCCAGCCAAGCCTGACCACCGCTCTTCATAGAGAGCTCCCTGCTGCCATTTTTACTTTTCATCTTTTTTTCAAGTTTGAGTTGCATTTCTGTTATTTGTAACATAAAGATCTGGTCAGTGTAACTGAGCAGGGAAAGGGTCTGCATTTATCCCTTGAACTGAGCGATGTTCCCTGTTTCACTGCTGAATGGACACGTCTAACATCAGCTTACCCTGCGACCGAACTCTTCCCCTTGCTTCACTTCCCGGGGGTAGCCATCAATCAGGAAGCCCTTGGTGTTGCCCAGGCTGGCCACCATGGCCTCCTTCAGCAGCTCCAGAACGATGCCCTGTAGCAGAGAAAGAGCAGTCAGCATGTGTGTGTCGGGGGGGGGGATCAGCATGCAAGCCCAGTGGCCCCCAGCATGAATGGGACTATCCAACTCTGCAGAGGGGGAAGAAGAATTTGGCCAGATCAATAGCAGATCTCTCAAGCCATCCTTCAGGCCTATGCCTCTCTCCCCTCTCCACCTTAACGTCTGCAATGTAGGTAGGCCTCAGTCAATACTAGGTCACCGGTTCACCAGTTAAGGGCTTTTCTCACGGTGTGTCCTTACTGCTGGTATTTGAGTAAGACATCTTCAGAGGCATCTTAGACCCCCAGCCCTGTCTCACACAGTACATGGTATCAATCAGGGCAGGTTAGAAGCAATGTCCGGTTCAAATATATATCACTGCCAAGGTTTTTCCAGTGAAGGCTGTGCAAAACTTTGCTAACTTGAGGACTTTCAGATTGAAATACTACTTTCTAGCAACATGACTTCTCCATTAAGAAGTTTGATTTAACAAGTGTTTATGGGAAATAAGGAAAGAATAAGGGAGGGGGGGTGGGGGGGGCGAAAGGACCGTTCTGAGGGAATGGAAGAATCTCATTCCCTGGCTTTCAGCAGGAGTTTAGGAAACCAGGCATCACAAGTGCATTCAGAACCCTTCCCTAAAGAATCATGACTTAATTCTTCATCAAGTTTACAGGCTATAGGGGAAGACAATGACAAACAGATGACTATATAGTAACAAAAGATGACCAATAAACACAGAATTCAAACAGGGAAAACGGGTCTAAAACGCTGAAAGTCTGTTTTCGACGGGGTGACTGGGAAGCCTCTTTGGTAAGGGGTGATCAGGAAGGCCTCTTTGGTAAGCTGTGACCCAAGCAGAGTGCTGGATGAGCCAGCTAGAGATGGTATGGAGGAAGAGCACTCGGGCTGGGGAAACAGCAGTGCAGAGGCCGTGAGGCAAAACAGCCCAAGCTGAGGGAGGACTTGAGGAGGCCTGTGGGGGTTGGGGGAGGGCAGCAGGAAGAACAAGCTGAGAGAGGACTGCTGGAGAAGCAGCCGGAGGATGGGAACAGCACAGTGTAATAGCAAGTTTTAAGAAATTGCTTGGGCCAGACATGGTGCAGCATGCTTTTAATCTTAGCACTTAGGAGGCAGAGGTAGGTGGATCTCTATGACACTGAGGCCAGCCTGGTCTACAGAAGGAGTTCCAGGGCAGCTGGGTTACAGAGAGACCCTGTCTCAAACAAACAAACAAACAAACATCCCCCCAAAACATTGCTTTAGGAGACTGGGAAAATGGCTTAGTGCGTAAGAGCACTTGCAGCAAAAGAGACCCAAGTTCAAATCCCCAGTGCCCGTGTTATAAAGCCAAGGATAGCAGTACATGCCTGTTTCCAGCACTGGAGTGCAGAGACAGGTGGAGTCTGAAGGTGCCCTGGCCAGCCAATCTAGTCAAAAAGGCTAGCTTCATGTTCAATGAGAGACCCTATCTCAAAAAATGAGAGAGTGATGGAGGAGAATCCCTGGTATCCTCCTCTAGCCTTGCAATACACAGACACACAGACACACACACACACACACACACACACACACACACACACGGTGGCAGGCACTTGAAACAGCTAGTCACATTGCCACCATCAAAAACAGAGAGCAATGGACGCCACTACCCAGCTGGCTTTCTTCGCGGTTAAAGTTCAGGATCCCTCTTGCCCACAAAATGGCTCCTCCCTAGTCAAGACGGGTCTTCCTCCCATCATCTAATCAAGATAGTTTTCCACAGGCATGCTCAGAGGACTAGGTGGATTCTAAATTCTATCTCCCAGGTGTTTCTAGATTCTGTCATGCTGACAATTAACACTAACAATCACCTCCAAAGGTGATTTTCTGTTTCCTGAAGGTTTCTTCTAATTCTAGTTCCCACACCATCTGTTTTTGAAGATTTTACCCTAAACGGAGGCTGGATTTGGGGACATATGAACTAGGCTGACATTTAGGGGCTGGTGGAAGAACAGCTTAGAAGACAGGTGGATTGTCTGCATAGACCAGCCTGCCTCAGGATTATCACCCAGGAGGGAAATAAAACCTTCTCTGGGCCTTCAGGATTTCTTGTCTCAGTCACAGCAGTGTCAGGCAAGTAGGTATGAGGTCCTCCTTACCGAGGGCACCAGGTCTCCTCGCTCCATGATGTCACGGATCAGTTTGCTTCGTTCTGACTCTGAGGCCAGTTCCTGGCGTAGAAGTTCGCCGGTGGAGAGATGGGTAAATCCGTATTTTTCTGCCAGCTTCTCACACTGGGTGCCTTTGCCAGAGCCAGGGCCACCTTGGAAAGGAGACACATGTCAGACATGTACCTCAAGTCTAGTGCTTCCTTTTGAGGGATATAATAGTTACTTTTTAGTGTATATTCATTGTATAAAAAGATGGGTTCAGGGCTGGAGAGATGGCTCAGCAGTTAAGAGCACTGACTGCTCTTGCAGAGGATCCGGGTCCGATTCCCAGCACCCACATGGCAACTATGAATCATCCTTAACTCCAGTTCCAGGACCTCTGTGGCATTGCATGACACGGGTGCACTCACATACATGCAGGCAAAACACTCATACACATTAAAAAAGAAAGGATGAGTTCACGATGCCATGTTCATATAAACGTGTCATGTGCTCAGTTCATACCCTGAAACACTGAGCCCCTTCCTCTTTCCAGATGGTTCACCTTCTACTTCTATGTCATATCAATCAAGAGTCCGCAGATAAGAAAAAAATGTGTATGTGTACCGCACTGTCTTCCTTCCTCCCTCCCTCCATTTTTCCCCTCCCCTCCCCTCCCTCCCCTTCCCTTCTCCCTTGTGCGCTCCTTATGGAGACCAGAGAACAACTTCAGGTTCATTCCTTAGGAATGCCGTCCACCTTGTTTTTTGAGGCAGGCTCTCTCACTGGCCTGAAACTCTCCCAAATACGCTAGGCTGACTAGTTGATGAGCCACAGGGATCTGTCTCTGCCTCCCTAGTGCTGGGATGACTTGCATATGCAACTAAGTCTGGCTGGGTTTTTTGTTTGTTTTTCATTAAAAATTAGTGTGTGTGTGTGTGTGTGTGTGTCTGTCTGTCTGTAATATGGCTTAGAAATGCCATACCTTTTGGTATCCTGAACCTGGCTGGGAGTGGCGGATATACACAGTGTGTAGAATATGGGCCAGCTCTCGAAGAGTTAGCTATCCGCAGAAGAGACAGGTGTTGGGGGACAAGCACAGCACTGGTCATGAACAGTCACAAGTGCTCTGTGGAGGATGGGCTCAGCCTGCTGCAGAGCCTGGAGCCAGGGCACGACTGTTTGCTAGCCATGGGAATCCTACCCCTCTCCTGGAGATGGAACCTGCTGATGGGGCAGAGAACTGGGTGCAATGCTGGTCACATAGTGATGTTTAAAAACACTCACTGTGAGGTTTCAAAAGATATTGTTATTTTCAAGCATTTATAAACTTACAGAAGAACTGTGGGTGAAGCATGAAGAACCTCTGAGGCAGAAGAGAGACTGTGGCCAGGATGGCGTCTCGTCACTCTAGAACACCTGAGCATCATTTCCTACACACGGGTAGAGTTTCTGTCCTTCTACATAATCACATCTGCAGACCCCATGAACTTTCAGTGGAATTTCCCCAAGTGACCAGCAGTGTCTTTGAAGCCGGGGGACCAACTCAGAGTCCCACGTTGACTTTAATGGTCCTGGTCTGCCACTAGTAGCTCTGTGCCCCCTCTAGTGGGCATTCTCTTCAGCCTTCAGTGGTTGTGATCTGGTCACCTTCAATACCGAACAGCTCCTCTCAGTGTCTTTGACACTTTGGAAGATTACTAGTGGTTATATTGTAAGCTGGGCCTCACTGTATTTTTCCCATTGTTCGATTATTCATTCTGAGCATCTGTCCTATCACTTGAACACTATGTCTTTGGTCTTTGTCACTTTTCCCGCCTTTCACCCCAAGTTTAGCATGCTGCTAAATAAAAATATTTTACAGGGCTGGGGAGATGGCTCAGTGGTTAGGAACACAGACTGTTATTGCAGAAGACCAGGGTTCAGATCCCAACACCCGTATGGTAGCTAACAACTATCCGTAACTCCAGTTCTAGGGGATCCAACGTCCTCTTCTGTCCTCCGTGGGCACTGCACGACACAGGTGCACTTCCATACATGCAGGCAGTACACGCATACACAAAATAAAAATAATAAATAAAAAATATTTCAAAAAGTATTTTACATCTAAAAACAACTAACCTTTGATAAATGCTGGCTGCACCAGTCTCTGTGCAAAGCTATTTCTTTCTTTCCTTCTTTCTTTCTTTTTCTTTTTTTGCTCTTTTTTTCTGACAGAGTCTCTCTGTAGCCCCAGCTAGCCTGACTCACTATGTAGACCAGGCTGGCTTTGAACTCACAGAGATCCACCTGCCTCTGCCTCCTGAGTGCTGGGACTAAAGGTGTGTGCCACCATGTCTGGCCTGCAAAGCTATTTCTATCAATTTAGAATAGCACTGAGGCAGATACTGCACTTATACCCATTTTGCAGGTGGGGAGGTTAACTCCCTTGCCTTGGCTGTATGGCTAGTAAGGAGCCATCCTAGAATTTGCAGCTGGGACTCTGGTTGTCAGAAGCTGGGCCCTTCTCATCCCCACTGGGGCCATGTCCACTTGCTACCTTTGGGCTCCTCATCTTCTCTGACTGGCATATGGCTATCATTCTGTCCCTGCTTACAGGATGAGGAAGGTTCGGCAACCCATGTGACCTGCTGCTGTGACAATGTGCATGTGGTTACTCTGCTCTTGAGCTCCAGAGCAGTCAGCGCTGTCTCATCCCCACACGACAAAATCATCTCATCAGTGGCATCTTCAGAATCTCATCCCATTTTACCTCTCCAAACTTTGCTTTTGTTCATTTGGTTTCTTTGGAGGGAGGATGAGTTGTTTTTGAGGAGGTGAGACAGGGTCTCCCTGTAGCCCCATCTGGCTTGGAATTCATTACATAGACTAGGCTGGCCTTGATTTCACAGAGATGCACCTGCCTCTGCCCCCCTGAGTGCTGGAATTAAAGGCGCCACCACACCTGACTTTGCATTTGTTTTGTAACTGATGATATTTGTACCTTTTTTATGGGCTAAGGGATGATTCAATACATGTACAGTATGCACAATCAAGTCAGAGGGATGATTCTGTCCTCTCAAACATTTTTCCCCCGCGTCATACCCTCCTCTAATACTTCGTTCCTTTATGCTAAGTGAAACAAATCAGGCACTGAAAGACAGCTACACCGCGCTCTCATTCACACTTAGGACAGTAAGAAGTTACTTTCACAGATGCAAAGAGCAGACCAATGGTCAGCAGAGGCTGGGGGACACCCCGGTTCCTTCCAGAGACTTTTCCAGGCCGTCAGGCATTTGCTCCTGATTCTCAGCTTGAAATGCCAGTTCCTTCTCCTCTTTCAATTCCCCAGCTTTAGAAAACTTTAAATTACACTCATTTGCTTATTTTGTGTGAGTGTATGTGTATGTATCAAGTCAGAAGACAACTTGAGGGGCCATTTCTCTGCTTTTACCTGTGGGTCCTGGAGAATGAACTCAGGCTTGGTGATAAGTACCTTCACCCACTGAGCCATCTCACTGGCCCCAGTTCCCCAGTTTTATTGAGATATAACTGGTAAAACTGTACAGATGTAATTTGTGCCATATGACCATCTGATGTATGATAAACAGTGAACTGAGTACCACAGGAGAGCTGGTTGACACATCCATCCCTAACTTTTATTTTATTAAAATATTTTCTTTATTTTTATTTTATGTGTATGAGTATATTCTATGTAAGTACATATATACTTACATACATATACATACATATATGGCAACAGAATAAACTATATCAGCTCAAAGAGCTGAGAGTTATGCTTTTGCATCGACACGTACATGTAGAGGTCAGGGGTCCATGTCAGTGTTTTCCTTTATCAACTCTTCCCCTTATTTTCTCTCACTGAACCCAGAGCTTACTGATTTAGCTAGGCTGGCCAGCCAGCTAGATCCAGGGACCTGCCTGTCACTGCGTCCCCAGTGCTGAGGTTCTAAGTACTCACCACCACACCTAGATTTTTAAAGAGGGTGCTAGAATCCAACTCTGGTCCTGTGCCAGGCACTCTGGCTAACAACTGTCTATAACTCCAGTTTGGGGGATCTAGTGCCCTCCTCTGACCTCCACATGCATTGAATGACATGAGTGCATTTACACACACGTAGGCAAAACACTCACCATATGCATTAAAAAAGCAAAAATAAAAGAAAAAAACAAGAGATTGCAGCCTGACCACGAGGTGCCATTTGGCCTCCCCTCCCCTTGCAGCTTGCTCTTAACGGATGATAGTCTCTGCCTCTCACTTGCAGAAGGACCTTTCCTCCTCCTTGCTTTGCTGTGGCAGAGAACCCAGGAGGGGTACATGTATTCTATCATCTGTTCATCCAGACAGCTGCTTTAAGCCAAACAGAGTCCAGACGCCCCCACAGTACTACATGGAGGGCCAGACATAATAGGAAAACAGTAATTACCGAGGCTTGCAGAAATGAGGCTGACGATCACAGGAGCCACCCTTTCTACTAATGCCATGTTTGCTCTGAGCACTGACTCCTGCCTCCAGCTATAATGGGAAAGGAGAGCGTGGGGACAGGAGAAAGCCATTCGGAGGAAAAAGTGCTTCCAGTTAAATGACTAAGGGGTTCACAGCTGAGTCTGAGAGGCCGTTCAGCTGCTGTGCCTTGGCTTTCCCTGGAAACTCTTCCTGGGCTGGCTGGCGGCTGGTCATGTGGAAAAGATATTTTCAGACTTGACTTCCAAGGCAAAGACGCTTTGTTCCAATGATTTCCTTCCTTCAGCCTCCTACTAATATGACTATTATAGGTTTTGCTCATCTGAAATGTTATTTAATAAATCTCGACACAAAGGCAATTAAAAATCTCCAGCTCAAATTAAACAACAGCTGTGTGTGGCATGGCACTTACTGCCCCAGTTAGAACCCTTTCGTGGGAGCAACAGCTGCAGATTCTTAGCATTTTTTTGCCAAGCAGTGCAGACTGCAAGGAATTTTAAGTAACCTACACAATGATGTGATTCTTCCCCAGGCTCCAAACTGAAGAACAAAGTGATTTTCTCACTGCAAAGAGAGCAGAAAAACTGCCAGTGGCAGCAAGCTCTTCAACCTGTCACATATCAATGAAGTCTTAACTTATGACTTTTTTTTGGTCTTTTTGAGACAGAATCTCCCTGTAGCCCCCAGGCTGGCCTTGAACTCACAGAG